TTTTAATGTAAATAAATAACATTTTAATAAGATAGATGTTTATAAAATTAAATATACCTTTGGTGAAAGAGGTGAAGGGATTAAGAAGTACATATTGATCATTAAAAAATAAAGATGGGAATGTAAAGTACAACATAGGGAAAATGGTCAATAATATTGTGATAACTATATATGGTGCCAGGTGGGTACTGGAAATATCAAGGGATAGTTTTGTAAAGTAGATGATGGTTGATGTTTCTCTCTCATCAATGTTTCTAGCTCTCTATCCCTCTCCCTTCCTCTCTGTAAAAACAAAACAAAACAAAACAAAAAAATCAATAAAATATATATTTTTAAAAAAAGAATCTTATAAAAACCACTGAGAAACTTGAAGAGACTTTCAAGAACTTCAATGAGAATGCAAAAAAAAAAAAAAAAAAAAAAAAAGGAAAAAGATCAGTCAGACATTAAGGATACACTGTCTGAAATAAAGAATATACAGAAACTCAACTGTAGATCAACATACCCCAAGAGTCAAACCAAAGATCTGGAATATGAGGAAACAAAAAACACCCATCCAGAGAAGCAAAAAGAAAGAAGAATTCAAAAGTGCGAGGATAGTGTAAGGAGCCTCTGGGACAGCTTTAAGCGTACCAACATCCGGATTTTTTGGGGTGCCAGAAGAAGAGAGAGAGCAGGATATTGAAGGCCTATTAGGAGAAATAATGACAGAAAACTTTCTCTACCTGGTGAAAGAAATAGACTTACAAGTTCAGGAAGCACACAGAATCCCAAACAAGAGGAATCCAAAGAGGACCACACCAAGACACATCATAATTAAAATGCCAAAAGCAAAAGACAAAGAGAGAATCTTACAAGCAGCAAGAGAAAAACAGTTAGTTACCTAAAAGGGAATACCCATACTACTATCAGCTTATTTCTCAACAGAAACCATACTACTTATTTCTCAATAGATGCAGGCCAGAAGGGAGTGGCAAGAAATATTCAATGTGATGAAAAGCAAGAACCTACAACCAAGATTACTCTACCCAGCAAAGCTATCATTCAGAATTGAAGGTTAGATAAAGAGCTTCACAGACAAGAAAAAGCTAAAGGAATTCATCCCCACCAAACTATAATAGTATTATATGAAATATTGAAGGTTTATTTAAGAAGAGGAAGAAAAAAAAAAGGTAAAGATAAAAATTATGAACAACAAAGTGACAACAAATATCTATCAACAAGTGAATCTAAAAATCAAGTAAATAAAAAATCTGATGAACAGAATAAACTGGTGAATACAATAGAATCAGGGGCATAGAAAGGGAGTAGACTGACAATTCTAAGGGAGAAGGGGGTGTAGAGGGGGTGTGGGAAGAGAATGGACAAAAAATCTTACACCTATGGAAAAGGAAAATGGCGATGCTGGGTAAACACACCTAAACGGCCGCCAGGCACAAGTCCAAGGAAAAACTATAAAACAAATGTCTATCTCCCCAAAACCAAACGAAAGCTGGCTGAAAGGAAGCCCTTCATCTCTAGACTGAAAGAGAAAGAGGAGAATCCAGGGCACAAGCGCTGAAAACTGAGGTAGGAGGGGCGAGGACGTGAGACAGGTTGGCGGAGGATCCCGGCGTGCAGAGGGCGGTGCTTTCTTCAACCCCAAGAGAGAGGAGTGCTCAATCTCTCTGAAATCCAGTTTCTGGGAGAGAGGCTAGACTGTCTGCCATCGGGTCAGAAAATGGGGCTGGCTTGCTTGCAGAGCCGAGATTGTTTACTGTGCTGTGGTGCGAGACGCGGGGAGACGCGGGGACACCATCCAAGAGGCATCCAGGTCACCATTACTGATGGCCATGCCCCAGCCTAGTGACGCCCTGGGACTTCATCCTGAGACTCCGCCCCTTACAACACATCCAAGCTCCAAGCAGCAGACTTTGCATATGAATGGCCCTCTCTGTTGCAGTTTAGCAAAATTGCAACCTGGGGCAAACAGATCCAAGGAGGACAGGACTATAGTTCACGCTGTAGCTTCTGTGACAGTACTGGCCTCAGACAGTAGCTGGACTGCACCTCATTGAGACCAAGAAACCAGAATTCTAGTGCTCAGTTTCAATCCCTTACATCCATAAGTGACACATTAGGGAGACCTTCTTAGTGAGCACCAAAGCCCCACTGAAACAAGGTGTTTCTCCAGCGCAGCAGTTCTTCCTTTATAGACACAGCGGATTCTCACAAACAATTGGCCTGGAGGTCAATTCTTCCAGTATCAACAGCAATCAAGGCTTAATTACACCAAGACTGTGCACTAAGCCCACAAAGGGACCACCTCAGGTGATTGGGGAAGCTGAGCTACTGACCCCTGTAGGTCAACAACCACATAAAGCCACTCTATCAACACAGGGAGATGGCCAAAATGAGGAAACACAGAAGCATGACACGAATGGGAGAGATGGAGGAGAATAAACTAATGGATGACACACAGTTCAGAATCACATTTATAAGATTACTCAAGAATCTTCTAAAAACCTTTGAGAAACTTGATGAGACATCCAAGAAGCTTGGTGAGACCTTCAAGGACCTTAAAGAGAATAACAAAAAAAATGGAAAAGGACCAGTCATAAATTAAGCATACAATCTCTGAAATAAAGAATATACAGAAACTCAAGTATAGATCAACGTACCCCAAGAATCAAACCAAAGATCTGGAATATAAGGAAGAAAAAAATCACCCAACCGGAGAGGCAGAAAGAAAGAAAGAAGAATCCAAAAATGTGAGGACAGTGTAAGGAGCCTCTGGGACAGCTTAAAGTGTACCAACATCTGGATTTTTGGAGTGCCAGAGGAGAGCGAGAGGATATTGAAGGCTTAATGGAAGAAATAATGACAGAAAACTTTCCCTACCTGGTAAAAGAAATAGACTTACAAGTTCAGAAAGCATACAGAACCCCAAATAAGAGGAATCCAAGGAGGGACACACCAAGAAACATCATAATTAAAATGCCAAGGGCAAAAGACAAAGAGAGAATCTTACAAGCAGCAAGAGAAAAATAGTTAGTTACCTACAAGGGAGTACCCATACGACTGTCAGCTGATGTCTCAACAGAAACTATGCAGGCCAGAGGGAGTGGCAAGAAATATTCAAAATGATGAACAACAAGAACCTACAACCAAGATTACTCTACCCAGCAAAGCTTTAATATCATTCAGAATTAAAAGTCAGATAAAGAGCTTCACAGACAAGAAAAATTAAAGGAGTTCATCAATACCAAACCAGAATTACATGAAATTCTGAAGAGTATTCTTTAAGGAGAGGAAGAAGAAGAAAAAAGTAAAGGTAAAAATTATGAACAAAAAGACATTCATACCTACCCACAATTGAACCTAAAAATCAAGTGAATAAAAAATCTGAAGAACAAAATGGACTAGTGAATATAATGGAATCAGGGACATAGTAAGGTATTGGACTAACAATTCTCAGGGGGTGAGGGAAGAGATTGGACAAGAATCTTATACCTATGGATGAAGACAGGGGCGGGAGGTAAGGGCATGGGGTGGAGTTGGGGATCAGGTGGAGGGAAGATATGGGGGAGGAGTGGGGAAAGAGGAACACCTGTAATAATCTGAACAATAAAGATTTATTATAAATAAATAAATGAAAGGAAAAAAAAATCTTACACCTATGGATGAGGACAGTGGCCGGGGGGTAAAAGCATGGAGTGGGGTAGGAACCAGGTTGAGGGGAGTTGGGGGGGGGGGGGGGGAGGAATATCTGTAATAATCTGAACAATAAAGATTTATTTTTTGATTTATTTTTTAAATCTGGCTTCTCTATGATATTGTACATTTGTGTGCTGCTTTTTTTTTTTAATTCACAATATTAAATTGTTTAATTTTTGTAAAAAGAAAAAGTTAAATACACACCTCACCCCCATTAGGATGACTACTATTAAAAAAATACACAAAATAACAAATGTTAGTGAGGATATAGAGAAAGTGGAACCCTTGTATACTGATTGTAGGACTATAACTATGGTGCAGCTGATATGAAAAATAGTATGGTGGGTCTTCAAATACTTAGAAATAGAATTTCCATACGATCCATTAATTATACTCTGGGAATATATCCAAAAGAATTAAAAGTGGCGTCTCAAAGAGATATTTGTACACCCATGTTCATAGCATCATTATTCACAACAGCTAAAATATGGAAGCAATCCAAGTATCCATCAACAAATAAATAGATAAGTAAAATATGGTGCTAAAATATAATGAGACTAGAGGCTCTATACACAAAATTCATGCAAGGGCTCAGCCCTTGCAGCCCTTGCAGCCCCAGCTGCCTTGACCAGCCCTCACAGTCCTGGCTTCATCCTGAAGGTAATCCAAATGGTTGTTTGGCTGTTTGGTCTAATTAGCATATTAGCTCTTTATTATATAGGATATTATTCACCCTTAAAATGGAAGGAAATTCTGACACAAGAAACAATATGGATGGCCTTTGAGGACATTATGCTAAATGAAATCAGTCAGTTACAAAAGGACAAACACTATATGATTCTACTTAAATAAGGTACCTAGAATAGTCAAATTCATAGAGACAGGCACTAGAATGGCAGTTGCCAAAGGGTGGGGTGGCAGGGGAATGGGGAACTGTTGTTTAATATTATAGGCACAGAGTTTTCATTTTGCAAAATGAAAATGCCTGTAGATAGATGGTGGTGATGATTATATAACAATGTTGAATGTACATATGCCATGGAACTGTACAATTAAAAATGGTTAAGATGTTTTTAAGAAAGATAAATACAAAGAATCAAAAGTCAGCATATGTTCCTTTCAATTATTATGTAAATGGACCTATCTGTGTTCAATAGCTTGATTCTTTAGTCCTTTTTCTAAAACAAATCCAGCCTATATTGAAAGAAAAAAGTAACTAGAATAACATGAAATCTTAAATCCAATATCAAAATAGTGACTAACACTTTCCTGCAATATCAAAATAGTGACTAATTCACACTTACATATCTGACCCGAGTTATGCATTTCATTAGCTTGCACTTCATTTTGTAGGCCTTTAATAGCTCCTTGGCTTCTTTGGAGATGGGATTGGCATCAGGGAATGACTGAGAGAGATTGTAAACTCAGATGACATGGCTCACAAAAACCCAGAGGGGCATGATAGCATGATATTAAAGGCATGATTTATAGCAAAACTATATAATTCCAGTATTTGTGAAGTAACCATGGTAATTCTAAAGCAAGCATGTCAAACTTGCAGCCTGAAGGCTGAATGCCTCATTTATTTGGCCCATGTTAGCCTTTAAGTTTGACATGCTTATTCTAAAGAGCAACAGAGTTTTGATGCCAGTCCCTAAAACTAAAGATCTTTTACATGTATTCATACACATTATGTAATAATATGTGTGCCATTCACATAAATGCACTCAAAATTTTAAAAGTTTAATCAAAGCCCTAGCTGGTTTGGCTCAGTGGATATTAGTAGAGCATTGGCCTGCAGACCAAAGGGTCCTGGGTTCAATTCCAGTCCAGGGCATATACCTTGGTTGCAGGCTCCTCCTCAGTCCGAGCCCTAACAGGGCTCATTCAGGAGGCAACCAACCCATGTGTTTCTCTCACATTGATATTTCTGTCTTTTTCTCTCCCACTCTCCCTAAAATTCAATGGGAAAATATACTCAGGTAAGGATTAACAACAAAAATAAAAAATAAATAAAACCTTTTTTATAAACATTTATTTTTTATTTTTTATTTTATTGATTTTTTAGAGAGAGGAAGAGAGAGGGACAGAGAGTTAGAAACATCGATGAGAGAGAGTCATCAATCAGCTGCCTCTTGCACACTCCCTACTGGGGATGTGCCTGCAACCCAGGTACATGCCCTTGACCGGAATCGAACCTGGGACCTTTCAGTTCCCAGGCTGACGCTCTATCCATTGAGCCAAACTGGTTTCAGCTAAATAAAACATTTTTTAAATGTTTGATCAAAGCTCACTACTTAACTATATGAAATTAGAGATACTAATGTTTTAATGTCTTACCTCTTGGCAAACAAAAGTTTTAGACTAAAATTCCTTAACAGAAATTAAGTGCAACTGTAAAATGATTATTAAGAGAAAATATTCTGAGCCATAGTTTTAGCAATGCTCTAACATTGCCAAGTGTTTTTGGAATATTAGTTATGCTTAAAAAAAACAACTTAAATTTATATAGTTTCTTTTAGTTAAAAAAACAACAATATATAAGCCCTCCACTGTTTTTAAGAAATCATATATTACTAATGTATAAATGCAAACAATTCAACCACTTATGACACAGGAAATTAATTCTCCAAAGCTTAGGAATCATGGCCTTAGAAAAAACTAGGTCTTTATTTTTCTCCCAACTCTACCTTTATCATCTAACCTCTCTTCATCCCAAACTTTCAGTTATTTCAAGTAAGGTCCATAAACAACTAAAATAGCATTCATATTGTAGAAATTGCCACGAAACACTGAAAATTAAGAATCTAAAATCAGTGAACATTGTTCCTGCTCTGGTTTGTGCTAAGGTGCTGCCATGTACATGACTGAAGAAATCTCTGGACCTACTGTTTCAGGGAAGTGTGGAGTACCCTTAGAAGACTTGCATTTTACAGGTGCCAGAGACAGCTTTAGGCTTTCAGGATGCCATTTGTAGACCAAGGAGATGGCAAAGCGCCCAGAAATCTTCACAGTGATAAATGCATTCACCTGGGAACAACAGGAAGCGTTGTCATTTCCTGCATAGAATTCTCATACTCATAATTCAGGTGGAAATCATAGACATTTACATGATGCCTAGAAGGAAATCTGAGATCAACATTCACAGACAGCTTTAGTCTAATTCCATTTAGTCAGGAATGGGTTTTTAATTTTATGTTACAAGTCTGTTTGCCATGACATCTACAGATTTGTACAGCACTTTTAAGGGCTTGTGTAGATAAAGCATTCTCATTAGGTCAGCTGCTCTAAGCGGGCAAAGACTTTTGTTTGATTACAAGTTACACTTCCTTGCTTCCTGAATGTTGCCAGCTGAGGTAATATGAACTAAATAACCTACCCCATGAGCTACCCTGATTTTTCTAGACAAAGGGTGAGGAAACCCTGAGGGTCAGGAAACTTGCACATGCAGCCTTGCTTCTTACAGTTTCTTTACGGTACTTGTTCTTTACTTCCCAAGCCCTCCAGAACTAAGTAGTACTTTTAAAAAAATAGCCACCCGAATAGTGTACGTAGGATATATGGCCACCATGAATGATTCTGTAAATTATATAGATTAGAGGCCTGGAGCTACTTCCCTAGACAAGAACCTGTCTGGTAAAAATGTAATGTGATCCATACATGTGAGCCACATAAATAACTTAAAATTCTGTGTTTGTCACATTAAAAAGAGTAAGAAACAGGTGAAATTAATTTTAACATTTTATAACTAAAAAGATCTAGATATTAACATATCCACATGTAACCATTATAAAAAAGCATTAATATGATATTTTACATTCTCACTTTTTGTACTAAGTCTTTAAAATCTAGTGTGTATTTTACACTTACAGTGTATTTCAAAGGTTCCATGGCCACAGGTGGCTAGTGGCTTCCATACTGAATAGCACAGCTCTATATACATGGTGCCCTTAGGGTTTGATGCGTCACTGTACTATGTAAAGCGACCCTGCCCAGCCCAAGTGGTTCAGTGGTTGAGCATATACCCATGCACAAAGAGGTCACTGGTTCAATTCCCAGTCAGGCCACATGCCTGAGTTGCAGACTCAATCCCCAGTGATGGGTGTGTAAGAGGCAGCCAATTGATGTTCTCTCTCGTCGATATTTCCCTCTCTCTTTCTCTCTTCCCTTTCTCTCTTTCTCTCTCTCTCTCTCAAAAAACAAATAAATCAATAGAAGCATTAAAAAATAAAAATAAAGTGCCCAGCCAGCTTGGCTCAGTAGTTGAACATTTACCTATGAACCAGGAGATCACTGGTTTAATTCCTGTTCAATTGTGGGATCAATCCTCAGTGTGGGGTGTGTAGGAGGCAGCCAATCCAATCAATGATTCTCTCTCTCTTTTATTTATTTATTTATTTATTTATTTATTTATTTATTTATTTTTAAAATAAATCTTTATTGTTCATATTATTACAAAAGTTCATTTTCCCCCCTCCAACAGGTTCCCACCCCACTTTCTGCCCTTTCCCCACCTCCCATTGTCCTCATCCATAGGTGCACAGTTTTTGTTCAGTCTCTTCCCGCACCCCCCTCTCCCCTTTTCCCCGAGAATCTTCAGTCCATTGCCCTTCCATACCTCTGATTCTATTATATTCACCAGTTAATATTGTTCATCAGGTTTTTTAATTCCCTTGGCTTTTAGTTTCACTTGTTGATAGTTACGTATTTGTTGTTTATAGTTTTTATCTTTATTTACTTTCTCTTCCGAAAGAACCCCCTTCAGCAATTCATATAATTCTGGTTTGGTGGTGATGAACTCCTTAGCTTTTTTTTTTTTTATTAGTGAAGCTCTTTATCTGGCCTTCGATTCTGAGTGATAGCTTTGCTGGGTAGATTATTTTTGGCTGTAGGTTCTTGCTATTCATCACTTTGAATATTTCTTGCCATTTCCATCTGGCCTGCATGGTTTCTGTTGAGAAATCAGCTGACAATCGTATGGGTGCTCCTTTATAGGTAACTACCTGCTTTGCTCTTGCTGCTTTTAATATTCTCTCTTTGTCTTTTGCTCTTGGAATTTTAATTTTGATGTGTCTTGGTGTGGTCTTCTTTGGATTCCTTTTGTTTGGAGTTCTGTGCGCTTCCTGGACTTGTAAGTCTAATTCTTTCACCAGGTGGGGGAAGTTTTCTGTCACTATTTCTTTCAGTATGTTTTCGATATCTTGCTCTCTCTCCCATCCAAGTACTAACCAGGCCCGACCCTGCTTAGCTTCCAAGATCAGACGAGATCGGGCGCGTTCAGGGTGGTATGGCCGTAGACTATATCTTGCTCTCTCTCATCTTCTGGGACCTCCATAATTCTGATGTTGGTTCGCTTGAAGTTGTCCCAGAGTTTTCTTACATTATCTTCAACTTTCTGGATTCTCTTGTCTTCTTGCTTCTGCGGAGGAGTGTCTCCTGGCTCTTTATGTTCCAAATTTTTTACTTGATTCTTGCGATCTTCCATTCTGTTTTTAGGATTCTGTATAATATTTTTTATTTCAGACAATGTATTCTTTATTTCTTGTTGATCCCTTATTATTTCTTGTTGATCTCTTATTTCTTGTTGATCCCTTATTATTTCTAGTTGATCCCTTTTCATCTCCTCATAGGTCTTATCGACCTTTTCTAGGAAATTCTTGAAAAACCTTATAAGTGTGGTTTTGAACTCTATATCCAGTCGCTTCTTTTCCTCCATTTCTTTTCTTTGTGAACTGTTTCCTTGTCTCAGCATTTTCACAGCTTCCCTGAGTTGGTAGGGTGGCTTTGTGTGCTAAGGTGTCCTATATGGTTCAGTGAGTCAGCCTCCCAGTTAGGTGGAGTCTTGGTGTAGCCCTTTGTGGGCTGTGTGTGTAGTCTTGTTGTTAAGCCTTGCTTGTTGTTGGTATCACTGGGAAACGTTGATCTCCAAGCCAATTGGCTATGAGGATCAGAAGTGTCTCAGCTAGGAGGGTTTCTGTATTCTGCTTGGATGGGGTGGAGTCTCGGGGTGGCCCAGACAAGCTTCATTGAATCCCACACAATTGATTGCAGGCGCTCGCAACTCTTTGGTATAGGCGCAGACAAGCTTTGGATTCCTGTCTGTCAATCCCTAGGAGAGTCCCATTCACTACAAAAGAGAAAGCTAGCCACTAGAGGAGCTTCTGTGCTCCTCTTGGATGGGGCGGAGTCTTGGGTGGTGCAGGCAAGCTTTATTCAGCCCCTCCCTACGAGGGTCTGGTTTCTGAGTCTTGCAGTAATGGCCGCTGGCTTCACACACCTCCAAGAGATCTCTGCCTCTCCCTGTCTGGGGCCGTCTATCAGCGCAATAGGGTGATTCTGTTTTCCTCCCGAACCAAAAAGCCAGCCGTACTTTAGCTGTGCGCCCTCTCCGTGCGCAGGGAGTATGCCAGCAGCGAACTCAGCCCGCCCTCTCCGCGCTCCGAAAGCAAGCCGGCAGCGAATTTAGGCGGTCGCCTTTTCACACGCACAGTTCTCTGTACCTTCACAGTTCCTGAGGTTCAGCGTGCCTTCCCTCTCCTTCCCAGATGGTAGAGCCTCCTCTCAGCCAGCCGTCCAGCGCTTCAGGGTGATATTTCCCCTGTTTTTCAGTTCTAAACTCAAATTTGTTGTGGTAGGCTGCATTGGGGTATCTACCATCTTGGTTCCTCCTGCAATGATTCTCTCTTATCATTGATGTCTCTCTCTATCCCTCTCCCTTTCTCTCTAAAATCAATACAAATATAATTATAAAGAAACAAACTGCCCTGGCCCAGTGAATAAAGCATTGGCCTGCAGATTGAAGGGTCCCAGGTTCGATTCTGGTCAAGGGCACATGCCTGAGCTGCAGGCTGGATGCCCAGTGCACGGTGTGCAGGAAGCGGCCAGTCAATGATTATCTATCATCATTGATGCTTCTATCTCTCTCTCTCCCTCCCCTTTCCTCTCTGAAATGAAATATATATATATATATATATATATATATATATATATATGTATAAAAAAAGTAACAAAGTGACTCTGTATACAAAATGCAACACACACACACACACACAGTAACTTTATATGAATTGAGAATGTCTAGCATAGAGGTTACAGACTGGCAGCTCAGAATTAATTGACAACTTTTATTAAGCTATTTCACCAAAAAATCTGAATTTATGTCTTTTTTTAAATCATAAAAGATAGCAAGCCCAAGCCCATATTCCCATGTGGTAACAGCCTCTAGCCCTGAGTAGAGGCTGCCTCTTCAGGGGTACAGATATCCCAATACACTGCAGTTCCACCTGGCAGGCTCACTACTAATTATCTGAATGTTTGATCCTTGATCCTACAGAGACATACATTGAGCTGTCAACAGAGGTCATTTCTGCACAGTGAGACTGAGAGGAAGACTTTCACTTTGAACATAGTATACTTTCCTATTTTAAAAATATTTTATAGTAGGCACAAGATTTTATAATAATAATTTTTAAACTACTGTTTAAGTAATTGCTGTTTAGCAAAGATAAATTCAACAAGAAAGGACCAAGTAAAGTGCCAAGTGAAGTAAAGAACTGAAATAAAGATTTATTAGATTAGTTGGCTAGTGGAGTCATCCAAACTGGATAATTCAATTCTCTCAACCCTCCTTCTTCAATAGTATATTTCAGACCCTCAAAGAAAATTATGGTTAGAGCATAATAAATGACCAGAAAAAAATGATAAATTGTAAAATGTTACCAAAATTTCAACAGGATCATCGAGTTTTCCCTTTGTAGGCCATGCCCATTCTCTTAGAATGTATCCATTTCTGCTGATCACCAGGCCTCCATCCTCATTAAACATCATTGATATTATTTGGCTGCAGAGAGAGAGAGAGAGAGAGAGAGACATGACTCATTTACAAGAAAACTTCATGTACTCACTGATTTGACCAAGGTGGTGGAAGTTACTAGATCACATCCGTCAAGAGGATAGGACTTCCTCCTATCACATTCTTGGAGGATGGTCACCTTGCCTCTACCTGAATATCTCTCTTGAAGAGAACATTGGTATATGCCTCTCATATGATCAATATTTCCCTTCTTTTACACACATCCCCTTCCATTTCAGGAATGGACCCTGCTAGCCATAATTATATACTATGTGGCCCTGCTGCCTTTGAGTCAAGGATGGACATTTGACCCAGAACTGTGTTCCAAATGGATGCAATAATATATACAAAAGCCCATGAGGAAAGTGATGAGCACAGTGTATTCAAAGGACTAAAAGAGAATCAATGTGGCTAGAGTCCAGAGTGGTGTACATGACGCTGGAGTGATTGGCAGGTAGGATCCAGATGTGCATGGCTTCCTTCTCCATATTATGACTTTTGTTGTAAGAGCAAAAAATTATAGAAGGGTTTAATAACAAAGCAAAAAAAGTGGCATGATCAAACAGATTGGTACATAACTAATGTAAATACCAAAGACCAGTTAAGAGCTCACAGAGGCAGTCCAGGAAAAAGGATGACATATTGGACTAGGGCAGGAGTGAGAGAGATGGCGGCACATTCATGGATTCAAGAATCAACTAGATTGGATAGATGGGTTTTGGGTGGTGAAAACTAGGATGTGGAAATTTTATCTTCCCCATACTTTAATACAAGTCTATTAATACAGCCTAGCATTTCATTAGCTTTTCTGTATGAGTAATATCACATTATGTGTTCATGTCTGAACCATCTTTGTGTCTTCTCTCTTCTCAGCACAGCACGTGGTACAGGGAGGGGCTTAACAAAAGTCTGAATTTTAGAAATAGAATGAATTCAGTTAAACAAGTACATATTGATATCTTTTATTTATTTATTTATTTATTTATTTATTATATATTTTATTGATTTTTTTTTACAGAGAGGAAGGGAGAGGGATAGAGAGAAACATCGATGAGAGAGAATCATTGATCATCTGCCTCTTGCACACCCCCTTCTGGGGATGTGCCCGCAACCAAGGTACATGCCCTTGACCAGAATCGAACCCGGGACCTTTCAGTTCGCAGGCTGACGCTCTATCCACTGAGCCAAACTGGTTTTGGTGCATATTGGTATCTTTTAGATGCAAGACTCTTCAGGCACTCTCAGGCATCTAGGGATGCCCAGAGCAAGGTGCTCTCTCTGCACTCGGGACAGTTTTGAATCTTGTGCTAATAATTATTTTGATAGATAACATTTATTGGGAGTCTACTGTGTACCAAGTCTTAAATACATGTTTTTAACAGGCCATTGTTGCTTACTGTTTACAAATCATTGTAGAGCCAGATGGTTAATGGTATTGAAACTGGCTCTTCCAGCCAAAACCGGTTTGGCTCAGTGGATAGAGCGTCAGCCTGGGGACTAAGATGTCCCGTGTTCGATTCTGGTCAAGGGCATGTACCTTGGTTGCGGGCACATCCCCAGCAGGGGGTGTGCAGGAGGCGGCTGATCGATGATTCTCTCTCATCGATGTTTCTAACTATCCCTCTTTCTTCTTCTCTGTAAAAAAAAAAATCAATAAAATATATTTTTAAAAAAGAAAATAAAAGAAACTGGCTCTTCCATTTCCCAATAGTATGAATGTGGACTATTTCTTACATTTCCTGTGGTTCGGTTTCTTTATCTTAAAAATGCCAAAAACAACAGCATCTACGTCACAGAGCTGTTTTGAGGACTAAATGAGCTAATACATATACAATATAACAGAGCCAGGCACCCTGTAAGTCCTTTAACAGTGTTGGCTTTTATTGACAATTCCATTTATAGGTATTATGAGCCCCACTTCCCAGCTGAGAAAATGGACTAAGGGAGGTTAGCAAATGGAGCACCTGCCACCTAATATAAAGTTCAACAGAGACTCACCATTTAATGGAACAATAGCAGTTCACAGTATAAAAGGGGTGCTTTTGGCATAACTGAGGAGCCCATAGTTCAACAGATAGGCTAAAAGAGTGAAGCAACCAAACTAGAGAAAAAAGAAATAGAAGCCCTGAGCCTTGGACACCTAGAATGCATTCCTTTCTTGAAGAGTGCACTCTTATACTCACCCTGGGCAGGCCACTTTCCAGCTGTTCTCATTCCTGTGAAGCATCTCAGGAAAGACCTTAGCCATCCACCGCTGCTCTGCAGTAAAAGTTCTAGCAGCAGCAACCGTCTACCTGCCTGTGTGGTCTTCCCTGTACAATGAATCCTTGCAAGAAGGATTCCCTGTCCACACCTCCATTTTATTCATCTTCCTGATGGTTCAAGTTGCTGAGCCTTTTTACCAAGACCCCCCCTTTGGTGGGGTGACAGATGCACAAGAGGAAGATCGGTTTAAAAGATCATTAATAGTGAAGTAATGAAATCCCTTTGGAGGCAGCTTTTTTGTTTTTTTGTCCTTTCTCTTTCCAAGCCTACAGTTCTGCTGAAAGCAGACAGTAGCCTCTGCCAAGGAATGGCCTGTGGTGCCAGGGTGAAATTACACAGGGCAGGACTTAGCAGTGAGGCTTAGCACTTTGGGCTGTGAAGTTCCCAAAATATCATTAGCAGATGGTGTTGTATTCATCTGCTTGGTTGCTATTATCAAAGAAGACAAAGAGAGAATGAGGAAGGCAATCACAGTGGGGAAGTTTTGTCTTTTTTTGTTCCATAGATATAATTCTCATCTTGGATATTTAATTTTATGCAATAAATAACCAAGGAAACAATTACAGTATAAACTAGACTCACTGGCAATATTAAAGTTTGATCAGGGCACTAAACATTCTGGTTTCTACCTAGCATCCACTCTCTATTCCTTTCTTTCTTTCTAACAAATTCCTGTTCATTCAGCTCTTCACCCCTCACTGAGTCCATCGCCATTTACAGGGGTAGATGCTGAATAATCAATCTATGAGCCGAGACCGATTTGGCTCAGTGGAAAGAGCATTGGTCTGCGGACTGAAAGGTCCCAGGTTCGATTCCTGTCAAGGGCATGTACATTGGTTTTGGGCACATCCCCAGTGAAGGGTGTGCAGGAGGCAGCTGGTCGATGTTTCTCTCTCATCAACGTTTCTAGCTCTCCATCCCTCTCTCTTCCTCTCTGTGGAAAATCAAAAAAATATATTAAAAAAAAAAAAAGGTTTATGAAATTCCCTTGGTTCAGGCGTGGGCCTGTGATTAAGTTGGCCTAAAGAAACTGAAAGATAGGACATATAGTTTATTTTTGAAAAACACCCCCCCTCCTCCTCTTTTACCCCACCAGAAGATATGAAAAGGAAGATGTAGTGAGTGTCTTTGGTGGCCATCATGGGAACATTTAAAGAATGAATGCTATGAATAGCTAAGGGGAGGGATTTAAAGAACCTGGGTCTTTGATGACATAATTGAGCCATAAATTATGCTATATCTAGAGTTCCTCCTATCTCCAATTTTAAATGGGATTTTTCTGTTACTTGCTATAGCAAAGCATTCTTTTTCTTAAATATATTTTTATTGATTTTGTACAGAGAGGAAGGGAGAGAGATAGAGAGCTAGAAACGTCGATGAGAGAGAGTCATCGATCAGCTGCCTCTTGCACACCCCCCACTGGGGATATGCCCGCAACCAAGGTATATGCCCTTGACCGGAATCGAACCCGGGACCTCTCAGTCCCCAAGCCGACGCTCTATCCATTGAGCCAAACCGGTTTCGGCAGCATTCTTTTTAAAAATATATATATTTTATTGATTTTTTACAGAGAGGAAGAGAGAGGGATAGAGAGTTAGAAATATCGATGAGAGAGAATCATCGATCAGCTGCCTCTTGCACACCCCCTACTGGGGACATGCCCGCAACCAAAGTACATGCCCTTGTCCGGAATCGAACCCAGGACTCCCAGTCCACAGGCCGACTCTCTATCCACTGAGCCAAACCAGTTTCGGCTAGCAAAGCATTCTAACTCTACTTTTAGCAAACAAATATTCTAACTGCTGTAACCCCTTTGATTAAATGTTTATGGCTGGCTCTCTTAAAATACTGTTTGTTCCAGCCTCTCCATCTACCCATTTTCAATAACCTGACATAAATATTCCTAAAAGTCTTGTTCACTCATTATTCAATTATTCAAGTACTTATTAAGCACTCACTGTATACCTGGCATGTTATTATGTCAGGGATAGAGTAGTAAACAAGACAGATGTGGTCTCTCCTATAAAGGAGCTCATATTCTAGTTGCACACACCCAGTATAGGGAAATTTAATTTTACATTAAGATTAGTACTGAGAATAAATAAATTAAGTCATCACTCGAGTAATAAAAAGGAAAGGATGGGGACTTAGAGTGTTGTCACAGGGGCCACTTGCTTCTTCGGAGGACAGAACTAAGACTTTCCTTCCTAACTGCAGGGTCTCCACACACCTCAGTGTCCACACTTTGTTGCTACTATTTGTACTGTCTCTGGTAGAATCTCCTTATCTTGCTTCTGGGAGTGCATTATAGGTAAGCATGAAATGTAAAGTATTTATTTAAATAAAAAGAAAGCCTCTAAATTGCTCATTGATTTACCTCCTTGCAGCTTTAGAGTTTGTGACATTTCTTGACCTTGCTAGTTATTTCATTAGATCTGTGCAAGATCTAATCATCTGGCTAAGTGCTTTAAGCAGACACAACTATGAACCCCAGGAACTATATCACTATTACTGTCGGTCATACTAAAACTGTTTCTTCTCTCAAGTATTATACATGACCTATAAGGATATGAACTAATGGTGAGAAACTTTTTTTGTACACTTTACATCCTTAGTATTTTTACATGTATCAGATAGGGGTGCTCCTTATTTTCCTTTGTACAGACAGCTGAAATAAAGCCCTGTGTCAATCTGCTATTTCAAAATAAAAATAAAAAATAAAAAAATAAAAAGGTGGTCAGAAAAGGTTTTTATTGGAAAACAGTCTGCAAGTTTCTCAAAAAGTAAAAAATAAAATAAAATAGTTATTATATGACTCAGCAATTCCACTCTTAGATATTTACCAAAAAAAAGTGAAAACGTATGTCCATATAAAACCTATATATTAATGTTCACAACATTATTCATAGAAACCAAGTGGAAACAACACAAAAGTTCATCAACGGATGAATGGAGAAACAAAAGGTGGTATAGCCACACAATGGAATATTATTTGGTCATAAAAAAGAACAAAGTGCTAATACATACTACAACATGGACCATGAAAGCTTTATGCTAAGTGGGAAAAAAAATATGTAGTCACAAAAGACCACATATTATTTCATTTATAGGAAATATCTGGAATAGACAAACCTATAAGGGCAGAAGGTAAATTAACAGTTGTCTAGGGTTATGGTGAGGGTTTGCAATAATGAGTGACTGTTAATTGGTTCACAAAGTGTGGGATTCTGTAGAATATTAAAGAGGAGCAGAAATCACAAAAGCTATATAAATACAGACTTCATAGTGTCTGAGCTTTATGAGCAGAAGATAAAAGGGAGAGAATTAAGATAAAAAGGAGTGATCAATCAGGTTGCAGGATATAGAAAAAAATTAGAGGATGACATAGACTTCCAGGTGAGAGTATAAGAATATCTAGACCAAAACCAGGAGAGAGAAGAGAATCAAGCTTTTTCATAGAAACTTTTGAGAGAAGGGATTGGTCGTTAACAGATTAATTCTAGTGTGATCCATCTTATATGTGTTTATACTTCTCAAATTCTACTATAATCGAGCAAAATAGAATTGAGGATGGAGAGAGGCAGAGATGGATGTGTGTGTGTGTGTAATAATCTAGATTCAGGTGTTGCTAATGTGATCAAATGCAAAAATTTTTTTAAATAAATAAATAATGACTGCAATAGTTTGCAGCTTCTCCCGAGAAGAGTAAGAGTCATTTCTCCATCTCCTGAATCTAGGTTTGGCTATGTGACTTGCTAGATCAGTGAATAATTAGCAAATATATCGCTCGAAGGGGCTGGAAAAGTGCTTATGAACTAGGATTCATCTTCACTATTGTTGCTTTTGGAACTCAGCCACCATGTGAAGAAGCCTGAGCAAGCCTGCCAGATACTGGAGACATGCTCCAGTTGCCCTGTTACTCTAGCCAAGTGACAGATATGTCTAACCCCAAAGCCCATATTCATAATCATACTATTACCATCATCACCACCATCACTATCATCATTATAGCATCTACTCTTGTTATTATTATTCATGTAGTATATACTCTCTCTCAACATGATAAGGGTTGAAAAGAGAAAAGAGCACATAGCAATTAGAGTATGAAAACTAACCAATGTTTTTCTCTATAATGGGACCTTGGTAAAGGTATACATCTTCTTTGAACCTCAGTTTCTTCAAGTGAGAATTAGACCTAACCATAGGGTTCCTGGGAAAAATAAAAACATGGAAAAGTTGCCCTAGCTGGTTTGGCTCAGTGGATAGAATGTTGGCCTGTGAACTGAAAGGTCTCAGGTTTGATTCTGGTCAAGGGCACATGACTTGGTTGTGGCCTCAATCCCCAGTGGGAGACTTGCAGGAGGCAGCCAATCCATGAATCACTTTCATCGTGGATATTTCTCTCTCTCTCTCTCCCTTTTCCTTCCTCTCTAAAATCAATAAAAATATATATTCTTTAAAAACACATATGGAAAAGTTATCTGTTTTTTTTAAAAATTGATTTCAGATAGGAAGATAGTGCCAGGAGAGAGATAGAAACATCAATGATAAGAGAGAATCATTGTTTGGCTGCCTCCTGCACACCTCCCCCACCACCTAACCCTCACTGGAGATCAAGCCCACAACCCAGGCATGGGCCCTGACCAGCCAGTGACATCCTGGCTCATAGGTCAATGCTCAACCACTGAGCCATGATGACCAGGCAAAAAGTTATCTGACTTTTTTTTTTTTTTAAGTGCTTTCTTGACTTCAAGTGATATATTTGCAGTTAATAAAGGGGATATGTTTTAAGCAAGCTCACCAGAAAAGTTTCCAAAGAATCTAACTTTAACAATCCCTTAAAAATCAAGTAAAATATATTTGTTCTTCATAAAAGAAATTGTTACTTTTCCACCTTGTCACAGAATATAATAGTGCCATAAAAACTACATAGTGTTTCCGATGCTTTCAAAACTGTTCAACTTCTAAGGTTGGGAGAGGAAAGTATGTACTTTCTCAGTCTTTGAAATGCTTCCAGACTCTGTCATCCTCTTTTCATCTCTACATCAAAGTTGGGAAAAGCTCTTCTCCTCCAAGGACAGGTATATACACGCCACTCACCAAGGCACTTTGCTGCCCCATTAATTTGCCTCTTTTTCTATTTGCATCTTGAGAATCAAGCATCCATCTTTTCTCTTAGCTTTTTGCTGACTTGCACTCTCTCAGCTGGCAAGCTGATGACACATTTTGACAGGTGGTTTGGCTCATAAAAACAGCCAACAAAAGGAATCAGGGAGAGGGGTTTCACCAGAAGCATGATCAGTGAACATAAAGTGCTGAACATGGTGGAAACACACAAACACATATTTATTAACTGGTTAAGAAAAAAGAAGGGAGTTCCTTGCTTTCTGGATGACCTAAATCCCAACTCCCAGGATCTTGTAATCAAGAGAAGTCAAAACATAGGGTATGGGAAAATATGTGTTTGGGATTCATTCAAAAAATTCAAATTCAGCAAATAGGTGAATTTGAAAAATTTTAAATTTCCAAGTATTTACACTGTTTATGTACACAATTTTTTTTAATGGGAATGTTATATAACTCAAACCACCAAGATATTCTGCTACCCTCATTGAGGCCTCTGGTGAACAGTGTATGAAAGTCAAGGAAAGGAGAAAATTCCCCAGTTGGCTCAAATAAAAAGATAAGCATGGAACAGACTGTGGAATTTCAGAGGGAAGTGGAGGAGGGTGGGTGGGTGGGAAGAAATCAACCAAAAAACATATATATATATATATATATATATATATATATATATATATATATATATATATATATATATAAAACCCATGGACACAGACAATAGGGTGGTGAAGGGTGGCGGGGATGGGGGAACTAGAAGAGGCCAATGGAGGGAGTGGGAGGAGACATATGTAATACTTTCAACAATAAAGATTTTTTTACAAAATAAAAAAGCCAAAATAAACTCACAGACACAAGACAAAGTAGAGAACAATAGTCAGAGAAGGCAGGGTTTCAAAACTAAAGGAGACCATGAGATCATACCCCTAAGAAATTTGCAGAAATTTTTAGGACATGCAACATTTAATGGGGTATGAAATGGGAGTCCTGTCAGTGTATCTAGTTCTTAAGGGGTCAAGCATATTCAGCTGACACCTAGCTCACCCATTATCAGCCTCCCTGTTTTAGCTCCCAACTTGTGCATTCTTGGGGGTCTTGCCTTCATATAGATCCCTCTATTCTTGAAAGCCATAGCATCTCTTCATGGATGGCACAATTGGATTCTTTGACACCCAATGTCTTTTGTCTTGTTCTGATTTGCAAGTTCATACACGGAATAGTCATGAACACATGTGTATGTTTCATTTTCCTTACCAGTTTCCCCAATTAGATTGACCAGTTAAAAGATTGCTTCCCTAACCTCTTCTCTGTTGGGATTTAGCTCTTTCTTTACCCCTTAGCTTACCCACAAGTTCTAGTTTGTCTGGAATCTCACGTACCCCTTAGGAAAAGAAATGCTACCGCATCCAAAAGGTGTAAAGGTCCCAAGGATAACTTGATCTGGCAAGTCACTGAATATGTTGGTGTACATGCCACCCCAAGGGAGGGCAGAATAGCTTTGACATACAGCTACCCGGCCAGATGGATAGATAAAATCAAGGTTAAGGAACTGATATTGATAAAACACACAATAATGATAATAATAATTAATGTTATTAATTCTTAGTCGATTTAATTATTTTAATTAGCCACTTACAGATAACACAATAGAAGTCCAGAGAGAGTGACTCAATCCCCCATAGTCACTGAGCATGATAGTACCAGGCTAGCACACAGGTTCCTTGACTACCAGTTGCATGTTCCTACTATACACTCATTTTAGACCTGAATTCTTTGAAATCAATTATGTGAATAACAACAGGTAAGTCTGGTCAGACTGGTCCAGTTTAATGGCAAAGTTGCTGGAAACCAAAGTTGCCCTTTGGTAACCAGCACTGCAGGGTGTGGTCATTCCAGCACATAGCAGGAGGACAAAAATCTCCCGACCTATGTCTTTGGATAGACAGGAGCAAAAGAAGGCTAAGGGATAATTGCAGATATGTGAACAATTTCAAAAAACCTAGCTGTACCAACCTCTACAAAACTAAGGTGGACTCTTGAGGTCTCTTTCATTTTGGATTTGTAAGAATTTATTACAATGCCCTCTTCTCTTTAAATTAGATTTTCTAGATGCTAAATCCTTAGGTGATCCTCTCTACTAATCAGGAAAATGCAAGGAAAACTCATTTTCTCAGAACCACAGGAGCACTCAGGTGCTTACCAAAAAGACTGGTTATAACCAGAGGTTTTTTTTATTTTGTTTTTTTAAATAGAAGTAAGTTTTTTAAACTGGAGAATTTATCTCAACCTTCTCTCCCAGCAAGAGGGAATGCAGACCCCTGGGAGAAAGGGACTGAATAAGCACAAGACATCAGATGTCCTTTCTGGAATTTTCTGATGAAACAGAAACACTCTACCTGTCAGCTTCTGCTACCATTCCTGGCCCCCTCCATCTTTCTTTCCCATTGGAATTTCACAAGGATATTAGATCATGGAGGAACCATCTATCAAGGCGTAATGGAACTTTTTCATCTCTGGGTCATCCCTTTGGACTGCTGGCATCTGAGGCCTCCCCTTCAGCAGCTCCAGCCAGAAATATTGAGAACCAAAGGGACTGTTGTCCACCACTGCCTCATCTTTAGGATCATTATAGTGGCGCAGAATAAGTTGTTTGTTGAATCCCTCTTCCTTCAGCTTAGCTTCTTCTGTTTTGCTATTCATAAGAAAAGAATTTGAGACTTGGTTAATTGTTTGGTCTTATCAAGGACTGGAGGATGGCCAATGGCTGTTCTAATGGTATTTATTTATTTATTTATTTATTTATTTATTTATTTATTTATAAAATATATTTTATTGATTTTTTACAGAGAGGAAGGGAGAGGTATAGAGAGCCAGAAACATCAACGAGAGAAAAACATCGACCAGCTGCCTCTTGCACACCCCTATTGGGGATGTGCCCGCAACCAATGTACATGCCCTTGACCGGAATCGAACCTGGGACCCTTCAGTCCCCATACCGACACTCTATCCACTGAGCCAAACCAGTTTCAGCTGGTTTTTATTTTTTATTTTTAATATTCATTTGAGGATATGTTCATTAATGAGAGAGAGAGAGAGAAACATCACTCAGTTGCCTCTGCTCAGACCAGAGATGGGACCTGTAATCTAGATATGTGACCTGACTGGAAATTGAACCCACAACCTTTTTGTGTTCAGGACAATGCTCCAACCAATGGAGTCACCCAGCCAGTGTTTAATGGGCTTCTTTTAAATCATAATATCTGGATTTTGAAACCCTTAGCTAAGCATTTATGGAGTGCCTGCCATTTTTAAAGAGTTATTGAGTACCCACTGTGTGTGAAGCACTATACCAGAGGCTGTAGGAACTGTAGGACCAGTAAGTAGCCTTTGTCCCCATAGGAGCAGTATGATGCAGCACAGGCTTTGGATAAGAACTGAGATGAATCCTGGCACTGCCACTTGGGACCACAGAAAGTAAGCCAAGTAATAAACTCAGAGCCTTGGTTTCTTCATCTCTAAAATATAGATAACAATACCTCACAGAATTGTAAGGAATCTCTGGTACATGCACGAACCCCAGTATTTAGCATGTACTCTATAAATACTAGTATTAGTTTTTATTACATTTTAATGGGGATTATACACATACATGTTTATTAATAATAAGTTGATAAAGAGGAAGAATAGGTGAATATGAAACAACCTAGCTTCTAGGTTTTAGACATAGACCCTGAAATTAAGGTAGCCTCTTAGAACATTCATTTAACCATCCACAAATATTCACTAGGTGTCTTCCACAGGCAAAACTTATGAGAAAGATGCTATCTATTTCCCTTCTAAAGAGAGCGCCCAAGTTAGGCAGCTGCATGGGAAAGCCAGGCTTCAGTGTATGCATATCCACTCCAAACTCTCTACTCGAATCTCTCCACTTCACAATACTATTCCCCACATTTCTAGTGTCGGGTGCTACAGGAACTGTGGGCACAGTATGAAATGGAAACCTGCCAGGGCTCTGTATCTGAGGGTCAGTCATGAAGCAGACCTTCTTAGTTCTTGCCCAGCTTCCCCCACACTCGTGTAAACAAGTAGCAGATAGCTGTTGGCAATATGCCAGTAGAAGCCTCCAGAGTCAGGCTGGCAAAGCAGAGGTCATACACTAACGAGACAGTCTTAGTTCTCTTGGAGACAGCACCACCTGCTTTATCTACATGGGCTTCTGGCTTGCTTTTACTCAGTAATCCCAGCAACCAAAAGTGGGCTGCTGGGCTTCTCTGTTATTAAAACAGATTGTGGGAGATCCAGGATCAAACTAGAGAATAATCAGAAGTGTCAGGAGTGTAACTAGGGGAAGGAGGAGCCACCTTCCCAGAGAAGAGTAAGCAGTTTGGACACTTCTAATAGCATCACAGAGTAGAACTCAAAACACACAAACAAGCCCTAGCTGGTTTTTCTTAGTGGATAGAGTGTTGGCCCTGGGACTGAAGGGTCCCTGGTTTGATTCAGGTCAAGGACACATACATCGGTTGCAGCTCCATCCCCGACCCAATGGTGGGCATGAAAGAGGCAACCAATTGATGTGTCTCTCTCACACTGATGTTTGATGTTCTCGCTCTGTCTTACCACCTCCCTTCCACTCTCTCTAAAAATCAATGGAAAAATATCCTTTGGGTGAGGACTAACCAAAATAAAAAATTAAACAAAAAAAATAAAAAACTCAAACACACAAACAAGCAAATCTCAGTAACAGCATAAAAGAATGTCTAAAGCTGCCCTCAGCAAGTCCTTTCAGATTTAGAGCAGATTCAAACAAGAATCCTTGATGTTTTTCATCTTAAGTTGCACTTGAAAATTCCTGAAATTGAGCTGGCATATCTCAAGGAGGGTATTGGAATATTTGAAAGATATGGTCTGTATGCCTTCACTTAACAGGTGAGTATGAGATCTGGGATGTGGGAAGAGTTAAGGTGAAAGAAAAGTTTTTAAAGATTTAAAAATAAGTAATTGAAAATAATACAGCTGATTAATAAAAGGTGGGAAAGGTTTAACAACCACACCATTGTTGAGCATTGGGAGTGGGCATCCTAGCAATCATCAAGACTCATTGATTCTTCCAAGATGCAGGTGGACACACTTCCCAATGAGCCTTGCAAGTAAGGAACCACAGCCAGGAGGGTGGCCAAGGATTAAACCTGCCACTGTGTATTTGGAAAATGGAAATGCTTAATGAACAACAGATTTCTTTCTTTCCCCCTGTCTCTTCTCTTGCTTTCCTCCTCCTGCTGCTCCTTCCTTTCTTTCTCATGTTCTCATGAAAACATACCCCACTGTCAAAAATGTGGTGAGTGGGCAAAATTACTGAACAATATGACAAAAGCAAAGCACTTATAGATTGCCATTCTTTTCCACACCAAAACACATGCATGCCTCTCCATTGATAAACATCAATGGTACAATATCAGTTTAACAACACAAAATTATAATCTACTGGAAACACGAGTCTAATTACTATTCTCCAACTCTAACCTTAACCATTCATTCAATGCCTAAACATGATTTTATTTTTCTGTGACTTTCCACAAATGAATTTTTTGGATTATTTTTAAAAGAAAGGTAAGAATGCCACTAAAGTGTAAATACTTATAATCATTGGGAGAAAAAAGGCACACTCGACCTCCTTACCAATAAGACCAAAAATTAAGATACAAAAGCTCCAGTGCAAAAAACCCCAACCAAAATATCTTGCATTCTATAAATGCCACATTAAATAAATAGTCAGAGTGGGCAGCTATAATTCAGGAAAGTTCCCCATTATCAGAGACATAGAAAGGGAGTGGACTGACAATTCTCGGGGGAAAGAGGTGTGTGGGGGGGGGGTCGGAAAAGACTGGACAAAAATCGTACACCTATGGATGAGGACAGTGGGGGTGGGTAAGAGAAGAGGGCAGGGTGGGAACTGGGTGGAGGGGAGCTATGGGGGGGGAAAAGAGTAACAAGTGTAATAATCTGAACAATAATGATTTATTTAAAAAGAAAATAAACAAACAAAAAACAAACCAATGGGGAAGCTCAGCTGTTATGGCTCAGTGGTTGAATGTTGACCTATGAACCAGGAAGTCACAGTCCAATTCCCGGTCAGGGGACATGCCGAGGTTGCAGGCTTTATCCCTGCAGGGGGCGTGCAAGAGGCAGCGAATTAATGATTCTCTCTCATCATTGATGTTTCTCTGACTTTATCTCCCTTCCTTTCCGAAATCAATTAAAAAAATATATATAAAAAAATTTAAACCTTAAAAATGGGGGGGAAATATTAAAACAAAGCATAGATAGCTATACAATAACAAAAGTTAAAACACTGACATCTTACCAAAGCCAGTTTGGCTCAGTGGTAGAGCGTTGGTCTGTGGACTGAAAGGTCCCGGGTTCGATTCCGGTCAAGGGCATGTACATTGGTTGCGGGCACATCCCCAGTGGAGGGTGTGCAGGGGGCAGCTGGTCGATGTTTCTCTCTCATCAACGTTTCTAGCTCTCTATCTCTCTCCCTTCCTCTCTGTAAAAAAAATCAATAAAATATATTTTAAAAACAAAACACTGACATCTTAATCATAAAATTAAAAGGAAATAAGTTGGAGAAATTAGTATTTATCACAAGTAACAAAAGATTAATATACTAAATACTTTAAAATCTTAAATGAACAGGTAAGAAAGACTCTAAAACCTTAGGGAGGAAAGGTACAGAGATTAAGAACGCCTGGTTATATGAAATGCTGGAAGAAATGTTTTTAAATGTCAAAAAATACTTCAAAAGTTAAACCTCTCCAATTAGTAAAGAAATAGACACTTAAGCGTATTCTTTGTCTATCAATTTATCAAGGTTGAATGGTCTTAAGAATTACATTCAGTGCTAAGAATGTTGAGATAGCCTCTTACATTTCTATGAAGGGCTAGCGGCATGATTTTTCTAGAAAGCAATTTGGCAGTAACTTTCTAGAACTTTAAAAATGTTTATATATTTCAACCAAGTCTCATTTCTAGGAATATAGCTTTAGGAAATAATAAAAGAATTGAATAAATGTAAATATTCAATAATAGTAGACTAGTTAAAAAAAAGTATGGAACATCCATGCAATGGACTTAATTCAAAGCAGCCATTCAAAATTTTATTTCTGAAGAATTTAACAGCATGGGAAAATGCTCATGTGATCAAAGAAAAAGCAGGACAAAAATGAGTTTCAAAAGATAGTATATAGCTTAACAGATAATATATAAACATGTAAAATACATAGCATTTAAATAGTACTTACTACATGTATGGTTGTGTATGTGTTTATATATGTAGTTAGACAAGGAGATGTATAGAGTCTATGTGACCCTGGACAAGTCATCCTAGCATCTTGCCTATTATATTCATAATATGAAAAGATACATGCACACACAAACCCTACTCTTCCAGGTAACTCATGGAAAAGCTGGAGGAAAATATGTCAAAATGGTAAAAACAACAACAACAAAAAAAAACACACAACGGTATTCCCTTATTGAAAAGGTTGTTTGTGTTTTCTTCATATGCTTTCCTAAATTTTTGAAAAATTTAAATACTAAGAATGAATCAAAATACACTCCTGCAACCAGTATGTGGTATTTTCACACAGAACTAAAGTAGAAACAAAGTGGGTAGACTTTGCAGTCAGGTGCAGCTGGGTTTCAGCCCTGGCTCTGTCTTTGTCTTGCTGTGTGACTGAACAAATTGCTACAATCTGTCACATTAGTTTTCTCATCTGTAAAATGGAGAAAATTGTACCTCTCTCCTGGAATGGTTTTAAGGAGTATAGATAACGTGTCAAGTGCTAGGTTGACTAACTAGCACAGAATATTTTGTCAATGCCTGTTATCGTTATTATCACCTCTTAATTTTTTAGTATATATTTTATTGATTTTTTTTTTACAGAGAGGAAGAGAGAGGGATAGAGAGTTAGAAACATTGATGAGAGAGAATTATCCACCAGCTGTCTCCTGCACATCCCCCACTGGGGATGTGCCTGAAACCAAGGTACATGCCCTTGACCGGAATTGAACCCGGGACCCTTCAGTCCGCAGGCCGACACTCTATGCACTGAGTCAAACCGGTTTCGGCCCACCTCCTAATTTTTTTATTTGTCCTCTGTTGATTGTTAACTTGCTGAAATGTTTAGTTTTCCAATTTACATAAAAACAGGGACTGATTGTTTCCTTAGAACAGTATTTTTCTCATAGTTGGCTTTTCTTTCCATGACTACTTCTTTTCCCCAACGTTGTTATACATGATCCTATACTGGTCAAGTGATAAGACTGATTGATAAGTCATAGACTTTTTCACTAGTTACCTGGAAGAGACAGGTTTGTGTGTGCATGTATCTTTTCGTATTATAAATACAATAGGCAAGGTGATAGGGTCACACAAACTCTATACCTCTCCTTGCCTATCTACTGTATCATATGCCTCATAAAAATATATGATTTTGAAGACTGCAGAGGGCTCCCTACATTTGAATTATGGTTTCTTGTAGCTTCTTCACAGCAATATCGAGGACTTTCTTCCATTTCAAAATTTCCAATTTTGAGTAAGGATAGTGAGCGATCCAACCTTTAAAAAAAAAAAAAAAGACATTGACACAAAAGGGATATTTATCTCAAAATTTACCCCAAGTCAGTACTCACTGGGTAAATCCTGCCCATCAGTCTACTAAAGCCTACTTGAAAAGGGAACCAAAACCCATTTATATTAAAGTATAAGTAATTATCAACTTAAGAATTACCTATCCTGAAGGAGATTTGCCCTGAAATGGGATCAGGACTTTAACTCCAAGGAATTAAACCCCTATAATGACGTTGGAAGTTATTAGAGGCCTTCCAAGAATCCCTACACACTCTGTAGACCTACAGATCAGGGTCCTCTGTTTCCCCGTGTCAGGAAAGAAGCCTGTGTATTAGAGAGAACACTTTATTGGTAGTCAATAGATTTGGGCCCTTTTCCTAACTATCCCACTAACCTGTTTAGGCACTCAACATCTGTGGAATTCAGATTTCTCATCTTCAAAATGAGAGAACTGAATGATATGATCTCTAAGATCTTTCAATTCTAATGTTCTCCCCTTGTAAAATTCTACCCTTGTAGTGAACATATGGAAAAATTCACAGATTCCTTCAAGGAATTTGGAAGAGAAAACCTTGCATTTTCTTTATTCCATCCTGCCAAGTCCAGTGCATTCAATAAACTAGTAAATTACAAATGGAAGAAAAATTTAAAAGTGAAGATATGAAGGGGGTGGAAGGCACAGAATCTTACCACACCAGCACTGTTATTGTTTTGATGTAGCTTCTTCCAAATACTGATTATTCTGTCTTCAGATCTTTTTCCTTAACCACAAACTCTTCATTTGGCCATAACTCCAGGGGAAATTTGAAGCAGGACATTGTATCTCTTCTCTGCTTTTGTCCTCTATTCCTCTATTCCCAACCCTAACCTTTAGTTAAGGGCAGGATTTCTTCTATTTCAAAACAATGGATTTACTTGACTTTTCTTATTTTGAAGTATCATCCCAAACACATCCCATGGGATTCAAGTTGGGATGACAATAATACGTTCTAGCAACCCATGAACCAATGACCCAGGTTTGACCAGCCCAGGCCACCATGATTGCCCGTAGGGTGGGCACTTGACTCAAACAGAGTTAATCTGAGTCATTATTCAAAACTGAAATATGGACCTTGGGTGGTGATGGGAAGGAGAGCACTTTCTTCCTCAGCTGGAAGCACATGAACCCATGGCTGGCAGTGACCATCTTTACTATTAAACCCTATTTACTATTTACTATTAGGCATGGGCCTAACTATAGAATTCAACCAAGCAGAAGTGGAAAAGAACAAAGTATTTGCCAGTATGAGTCCCACATCCTTCCTTGAACACTGTTCCTGCAATTTTTCCTTTAATCTTCTGAGCTAGCCTCTACAACATGAGCAAATAATTCTCTTGTTGCTTAAACTCATGTGAGTTGGGTTCTTGTGGCTTACTGCCTAAAGATTCCAGGCTCATCCCCACAGGACCATGAGAACCATCCTAACTTTAGGCTGGGAGGACTGAACAAGCTTCACCACCGGATTCCTTAGGATTAGAGAATGTAAGTTTTTCTAGCCTCCCACTTTGAGATTTCAACCTCTGCCCTAAGGCCTTGCTCCTTGTTCACAGATTAACCAGTGGGCTGGTCACCACTTGCAATCTAATTGCTTGCTAGGGGATTTCCAGTCATTGGATTTTACCCATGTATTTGGATTCTTTGACATTTTCATGTAGAATTCTCTCGTTACCTTAAGATTTACTTCATTCCTATTTGCTGTTTTGCCATACCTACTGGCTTGTTCTTAGCATATGCATTTGGGTCTGGTTCCTCAATATCTGTCCCACCCCAGTGAGACAGTTGTAGTTTTAAATTTTGATCCCTCAACACATGAAATTCAGAAGTATAAATAAGCCGAAACTGGTTTGGCTCAGTGGATAGAGCGTCAGCCTGAGGACTGAAGGGTCCCAGGTTCGATTCCGGTCAAGGACATGTACCTTGGTTGCGGACCCATCCCCAGTGGGGGATGTGCAAGAGGCCCCTGATGGATGATTCTCTGTCATTGAAGTTTCTAACTCTCTATCCCTCTCTCTTCCTCTCTGTAAAAATTCAAATATATTAAAAAAAAAAAAAAAAAAAGAAGTATAAATAAGAGAATGGAGAGTTGTGGAAAGAACACTTATCCCTAGGCACATTATCTAATACCAGATCCTTTCAACTGTTTTTAAGGTTATTAGCTATGATAAAAAGACCACAAAAAGCAAATCTGTAAGATGTATGGCAGTCAGCCCCAACTCCTACTGATTCTCTGAGCCACAACCACTATGTTATGTTTGCGTCCCAAGGAATAGTAAGTTTCCCTTTTCCTAACAACCAATGTCTTACCCATTTTATAACTTCATTCAGGTATAGAGAGTATTCTTTCTAGATTTGGGCAACCATAAACTTTCATGGGCTGTCTCCTTTATAACAATTTAAGAATTCATTTTTGCCTATAACATGGAAGCCTTGGTTCCCAATCCAGAATGGTAGGTTTTTGCACTGGAAGGGCCCTGGATTGTTCTTCTAGGACATAAATGTCATTGTTACCTAAACTGGTTCCTCAAAATCATGAAGGAAAAACTCACAAGGTATAAAAGTAGAGAAACCAGGAGAGCTGGGTTAGATGAGGATATCTTTGAAAAGTTTGACTTCGAATCTATGATTGTGGTACTAAGAGGATGTCTGGGAGAAAGGTTTCAAATTCAGTGAATGGAAGTGATTCTCACTCGGGCTGCTCATCAAAATTGACCCTGATTTGGGTGGGTAAAGGGATCTTACCATTTTCTAAACAGAACTTGGATGACAATGAGAAGTGAATGACAAAAGGTAATTCGGTTTCATGGAGCATCTGGTAATACTGCTTTTGGCTGGTAAAAACTAGAGGAAAAAAAGAAGATGAAGAAAGGGGAAGAAGAAAAAGAGCATTTTGCTGGATTATCAACAAAAAGCCCATTTGTCAATGTTTTAATATTTTTATGAGGGTATTAGTTTGGTGAAGACCAAGGGAGGGAGAGGCAGGGGTGGGTGGAGATGGGCAGTGTATTTTAATGCTTTTCTTTAATTTAAAAAAAGAAAAGCATTAAAATACGCTAGAAGAAAATATTTGCAAAGCACATTTACAACAAAGGACTAATATCTAGAATGTATAACGAACTCTCAAAATTCAACAATAAGAAAGTAAACCCCCTATCCAGTTTGGCTCAGTGGATAGAGCATTGGCCCACAGACCAAAGGGTTCCAGGTTTGATTCTGGTCAAGGGCATGTACTTCTGTTGAGTTGCAGGCTCCTCCCCAACCAGGGAGCTGGTCAGGACACATGCAAGAGGCAACCAATCTATGTGTTTATCTCACATCGATATTCCCTCTGTCTTTCCCTCTCATTTCCACTCTCTCTAAAAAAATAATCAAAATAAAAAGAAAGCAAACAATCCAGTTAGAAAATGAGCAAAGACATAAAAGACATTTTACGAAGAGGATATATAGAAGACACATATTTCACATCATTAACCATTAGAGAAATGCAAATTAAAACCACAGTGAAGGATCTGGCTGGGTAATGCGTTGGTTAGAGTGCCATCCCAATACACCAATATTGCAGGTTTGATCCCATTAGGGCACATACAAGAATAAACCAATGAATGCACAAATAGGTGGAACAAGGCTATTGATGCAGTCATGATTCAAAATACTTGCATTACCACGCCGAAGCTGGTTTGGCTCAGTGGTAGAGCATCGGTCTGCGGACTGAAAGGTCCCAGATTCGATTCCAGTCAGGGGCATGTACATTGGTTGCGGGCACATCCCCGGTAGGGGGTGTGCAAGAGGCAGCTGGTCGATGTTTCTTTCTCATCCACGTTTCTAGCTCTCTATCTCTCTCCCTTCCTCTCTGTAAAAAAATCAATAAAATATATTCAAAATACTTGCATTAACACAAGGATCACTCATGTCCTTTTACAGCCAAGACTATATTCCTCCTGCCCCACCCCCTCTTTAACCCTGGCAACCACCAATGTGTATCCCATTTTAATATGTTTGTCATTTCAAGATTATATGAAATGAAATCATACATAATGTAACTTAATGTAATTGATCTCTTCTCTCTCTCTCTCTCTCTCTCTCTCTCTCTCTCTCTCTCCCTTCCCCTCTCAAAACCAATAAATAAATAAATAAAATAAGCATAAATAAAATCACACTGAAATATCATTACATGTCTATAAGAATGTCTAAAACAAAAAAAAGGTGATGATATCCACATATAGGCAAGGTTGTCACTCACACATTGCTGATAGAAATGTAAACAGTACAGCTTCTTTTTTTTAACATTTAAAAAAAATATATTTTATTGATTTTGTACAGAGAGGAAGGGAGAGAAATAGTTAGAAACATCCATGAGAGAGAGTCATCGATCAGCTGCCTCTTGCACTCCCCCTACTGGGGATATGCCCGCAACCAAGGTACATGCCCTTGACCAGAATCGAACCCGGGACCTTTCAGTCCCCAAGCCGACACTCTATCCATTGAGCCAAACCGGTTTCGGCAAAAAACAGCTTCTTGAAAAAAACAGTTTGGCATTTAACAGTTTGGCACTTAATATATAAAAGTAAACATAAAATAAACATAGCCCAGCACCTGTTCTTCTGGGCATTTATCAAAGAGAAATCAAAACTTATATTTACACAAAAACATGTATATAAATGTTTTAGTACCTTTCCTAATAGCCAAAAGGTGGAAGGGAGGGAAGAAGGGAGGGGAAAATCCAGATGTCCTTCAAGGAGTGGATGGTTAAACAAATTGAAACATCTATATCGCAGAAAATAGCTGAGCAATAAGATGAATCTCTAGAGAATTAAGCTAGTTGGACAAAAGGCTATCACCAAAAGTTACACATTGTATGATTCCATTCCATATAATCTTGAAGTGGCAACCATATTAAAATGGGATACACATTGGTGGTTGTCAGGTTTAAAGAGGGGGTGGGGCAGGAGGAACATAGTCTTGGCTGTAAAAGGACATGAGAGATCCTTGTGGTAACGCAAGTATTTTGAATCTTGACTGCATCAATAGCCTGTTTGCGATACTGTACTATAATTTTGCAAGATATTGCCATGGGGAAAAAATTTGGATAAAGGGTATATGTGACCTCTCTATATTGCTTATTATAACTGCATGTGTGTCTACAATTATCTTAGAAATAAAGTTTAATTTTAAAAAATTACCTATGTGGCTAGCATCATTTTTCTGTTGGACCGTGCTACTGTTAGAGAATTTGTAAGATCCCCTGTGGCAAAAGCTTCATATCACTTGAATAGGAAGCATAATGGATGCTATATTGAACTGAAAGCACCATAAATTTTTCTGTCTGCCCAGCCAGTGTGGCTGTGGTTGAGCATTGACCTATGGATCAGAAGGTCACGGTTTGATTTCCAGTCAGGGCACATGCCTGGGTTGTGGACTTGATCCCCAGAGTGGGGTGTGCAGGAGGCAAGTGATCATTGATTCTCTCTCATCATTGTTTCTGTCACCCTCTTTCTCTCTCTTCTTCTCTGAAATCAATAAAAAATATTTAAGAGAAAATTTGTGCCTTACTGCTGACATTCATGAACTATTAAAATGATTAGCACAAACCAAATTACCACTTTAATATAACCAAATATAATGTTCTGTCACTATCTCACTTGCTACTTTTATTCTTATTTATAAATTTAACTAGTAATTTCTACTTACATGTTTTTTCAATTGGTACAAAATGGTGGCGGTCTTTTTTTGCTTTCATCAGATAATTTTCCTTATGACATTCTATTCTTGGATAGTTGATTTTGTCAACCATCATGGAACTGGAATTGCTTTGCAAGACATTTTGTTTCTTTGACAGTGACTTTTTGGTTGCATATTTATAAGTTCCTTCAATGAGATCAAGCCAACTGTAATTCACAAGATTTACAATTCCTACAGGGAAAGCAATATTATTCTTAGCATATGTCTGCAATGTCTCCCCAAGTTCACACAGTAATTCAGCAGCAGTTTGTTTGAATTCTTCAAATGGACTCTTTTGCCTGCGTATTTTGGAGAATTTAATGTCAATAGGAATCTTGGAAACAACAGGAGTTGGTGAGATGGCAAATGATTGAAATGCATATTTCTTCTTTAGTGCAGCTTCTATAGGTTGCCTTGCTTTCTTGTCTAGTTCTTTAGGGTGAATACTCTCTGGAAGACTGTAAAAAAAAACATGTGAGACTTAAAGATATTGAATACTTTTTAACCTAGTAATTTGACTTCTAAATATAATTTAAAAGATATGTAGCATCTGTGTATAAAATTTCTAGCTGAATATTAGTTTTTGATATTAGTAAAAATTGAAAAAAACCTAATAGCTCATAGCAATATTGCTAAGTATGTAAATAATGCCATACCCATAAATGTATAGCAATAAAAATTGTAAAATTTCTTTTAATAATTTGGGGAAATGATTATGTTATATAAAAAAGATACACAATTACATATGTGGAATGATCTGAATTGTATAATGTATATATCATTTATCTGGTAGTAAAGAGCCTAAGCAAATGTCCACCAAAAAGGAAATTAATTGTGGGATTACAGAAGTCATTTTTATTTTCTCCTTTTATACTTCATGCTCTTCTAATTTTTCCACAATAAACATTTATGTTTATACACAGAAGACAAAAACCAATATATGTGTATCATTTATTCATTTGTCTAATTATAAGACAAGACATAGATCATTTCTTCCCTGAATTTCTGAGGTTCTAAGTCCACAAACATACTGTGTTCCCTCAACCCATCCAACACAGCCCTGTCAGATATTACTGTATTTTAGAGAAGACAGAAATCCGAACAGGTAACCTTCATATTCCCCACTACCACCTTTGTAGGAGGTTAGGTGCAGGGAGAGGGAATTTACCAAATCTAGAAGAGGCACCTGAAAAGCTTAGAGACTGATGAGGGCTTTTGATAACTGAGGGGAAGAGTTGGGAGGGGGGAGCACTATGGTTTTTAAATTTGGAATATTCTCCTGTAAACCAGTTGTTCAAATATTTATAAGACAGCTGCCCTAGTCATCACAACTTCTTTACTATTGAATGTATTGGGGTTATATTGATTAGTAAAATTATATAGGTTTAAGGTGTATAATTCTATAATACCTCACATGTATATTATGCTTCTTTCCATCACCATTTATCACCCCTATACAATCTCCTACCTCCCTCTGCTCATTTGTCATTACAATTTCAAAATGTTTTCTTTCATCATGTCAATGTGGTGAAACATGTCAACACCTCCCGATGGACTTTATAAAATGGTGCAGAGCACTAAGAGTCACTTCCATCTTTCTACTAAATGGTGGTTCCATTAGCATAGTTTGAAAAATAACATTGGTTTCCCAATGGAGAGTTTAGGGTAAAAAGGCAACTTTTTTAGACCAAAAGGTATTTGAGTTGGAATAAGAATTGTAAATGTAGATCTTTAGGCATTGGATATATTTTCACATTAATATTTTTTAAATGGATGACCTATTTTCAAAAACTTTAAATATATTATTATTATTATAACTCATACATTTCTATATCCCTTTATAATAAGCTTTCAAAGTTGCTCTCATAAACATCATTTCTCTAAACTCTAATACTAACCCTATGAGGCAGCTACTGTGTTATCTCAATTTTATGGTATTTTCTTTGTAACATCCTGTAAATATGCATTTACAACTCTCAGATTGCTCAAATAAAAGAATAAGACTACTACTTAAAGTAACAATAACTGTAACACCTTCCACTTATTAATTGCCTCAATATGTAAGTACAGTCAATAATTATATCTCTTTCAGAAGGATATTAAGAAGGTTAAGAAATGTAATACATTTAAAAAAATATATTTTATTGATTTTTTACAGAGAGGAAAGGAGAAGGATAGACAGCTAGAAACATCAATGAGAGAGAAATATCAACCAGCTGCCTCCTACACACTCCCTACTGGGGATGTGTCCACAACCAATGTACATGCCCTTGACCAAAATCGAACCTGGGACCTTTCAGTCCACAGACGGACGCTCTATCCACTGAGCCAAGACAGCTTAATACATATTTAAATATAATATTTATATATCTGGTTTATTTTTCAGGCAGAAGCTCAAATAATGGACTGTCCAGTTCAAAACTAGACTTAACAATCTTTTTCTTTTTAATCCTCAAACAAGAATATTTTTTATTGATTTTTAGGGAGAGGGGGAAAGGGAAAGATAGAAATATGGATGTGAGAGAAACACATTGATTGGTTGCCTCCTGCACGTGCCCTGACCAGGGCCCGGGCTGGAAAGAAGCCTGAAACCAAGGTAAAGGACCTTGAGGAGAATCAAACCCGGGACTCTCTGGTCTGCAGACTGATGCTCTATCCACTGAGCCAAACCAGCTGGGGCCAGACTTAACAATATTAAAGAGAGATAATCAACAATGAAGGTCTTGGCACCTGGCTCCACTTCTCTAGGTATACAGCACATGAGAAGAAATGATTCTCCCGCTCATAACAAGTGTCCCATCCCTCCCAGCTGCACTGCACCTGCATATGCAAATTAACCTTCCATCTTTTTTGGGCTAATTTGCATACTCACTTCTGATTGGCTGTGGAAATATCAGAGGTATGGTCAATTTATATGTTTGTCTATTATTAGGTAATATTGCTTTTCAAAAACAGAAAGAGCTGGAAATGAAGAGACAATAGACTTCTGAAAATAACAGCAACTTGTAATGGTCTTGAGAAAAATTATAACAGGCTCAAAAAACACCCTCACAATTTAATTAATACATATCCCAGTTTTTCATCCTAATACTGCTGACATTTCAGATCAGATAATTCTCTGTTGAAGGTACTATCCTATGTATTGTAGGATGTTTAGCAGCAGCCTTGGTCTCTATATACCAGATGACGATAATGTCAGATCCCCCTAGTTGTGACAAACAAAAATGCTTCCAGAAATTGCTACATGTCCCTTGCAGGACGAAACACCCCTGCCTGAGAACTCATTGGTAAAATTAACAACTTTTAATTTTATTCAGCCTTGTGATATATGTTCTAAGATAGGTTGGGATAATTTAATTTCCACTTTACAAGTTAAATTGTGGTAACTAGAGGGTAAAAATATTGTGAAATGACTATTTCCATTATTTCATTCATTTTTGTGGTCTTGACACAATTCTGTGGATATTAATCACAAATCTGTATTAAGCACATCCTATGTGCCAAGCACTGTTCTTGGTATTGGGGATAGAGAAGTGATCAAGTAGATAAAAAATCCTTGTAGACCTGATATTCTCATGAGAAGAGAGAGAGCAAATAAATAATAAGGGATATCATTGCCCTAACCCACATGTGTCAAACACAAGGCCCGCGGGCCAAATCCGTCCCGCCAGGCCTTGCAATGTGGCTCGAACCGCGCTGTCATCACTGCACTCCGCTGCGTTTCCATCACAATGACAGTTTATGACTGTTCAGTAAACCATTCGGCCCGCGATTTAGGCTGGATTTTAGATTTTGGCCACTTCTCTGATTGAGTTTGACACCCCTACCCTAACCGGTTTGGCTCAGTGGATAGAGCATTGGCCTGCGGACTCAGAGGTCCTGGGTTCAATTCCAGTCAAGGGCATGTACCTTGGTTGCGGGCACATCCCTAGTAGAGGGTGTGCAGGGGGCAGCTGATTGATGTTTCTCTCTCATCGATGTTTCTAACTCTCCCTCTCTCTTCCTTTCTGCAAAAAATCAATAATATATATATTTTTAAAAGGGATATCATTTACAATCTTAGAAAGTGATTTAGTGCAACAGAAAAGTTAGAAAAGGGATAGAAATTGCTAAGGTGGTGATGGTGTAGAAATTTAAAATAGGATAATCAAGAAAAGTCTCACTACAAAGGTGAAACTTAAAATAAAGACAAGGAAAGGGGGGAAGCAATGCTGAAAACAGAAGGAACAGCTAGTGAAAACTCCCTAAAGGAGAAGAAAAGCGAGAGGGAGAGAGAGGAGAAAGAGGGAGAGGGAGAGGGAGAGGGAGAGGGAGAAGGAGAGAGAACAAGCTAGGTTTGTTGTGGATTAGCGAAGAACCAGATGACTGGTCCACTTGACCAATTATGCTTACATTAATCCTGATCTGGCTAAAATAAAGCTCTTTGACTAAATTCATGGTCATCTTTGACATGGTACTTTCTTGATATAGTTTCTTAGAGGGTAGGAAATAAGAAAGGATTGATCCTGAGCACCTTATAAGTCTTTGAAAATATACAGTGATGCCAGCAATGCAGAGTAATTCCAAATGTTTTACCTAAGCTTATCTTCTGACGTGTGTTTCAAATGGGGGAGACAGTCTTTCTTTTCCCATTTTCTCCTTTTTGGTTTCATCTAAAATAAAATAAATTTATTTAAAAGGTAGAGAAAAATACTGGTCAAAGTGAAATATATTTTTAAAAGTAAATTATAATTTATGAGACTGACCTATATTATTACCTGATCAAAGAAATACATAGGTCCAATGTCCAAAGGTTTAGTTTCAGTAAAGTCTTCCATTCTGTCATGAGACCTAAGAAGGAGAAGTTAAGAATCTGAAGACAAGTTATCATTTCTACAAGTAATAATTCAAACACTTGGCTTTAAAGTTGAGATTTTTATATTCAATAAAGTTGAGATTTTTATATTCAAGCAGGGGTTGGGGATAGGACACAACCATTCCTTTACCTCTATCTTCACTACATAGGCTATCTATTTGACATAGGCACAATCAGAAGGATTTTTTTAAAAATATATTTTATTGATTTTGTACAGAGAGGAAGGGAGAGAGATAGAAAGCTAGAAACATTGATGAGAGAGAGTCATCGATCAGCTGCCTCTTGCACACCCCCTACTGGAGATATGCCGGCAACCAAGGTACATGCCCTTGACCCGGGTTCCTTCAGTCCCCAAGCCGACGCTCTATCCATTGAGCCAAACTGGTCTCGGCAACAATCAGAAGGATTTTATGCTAATGGCAAACAAAGCAATATCATGTTGATGTCAAATTTCTCAACCTTGGCACTATTGACATTTGGACCAGATAATTCTTTGTGGTAAGGAGCTGCCTTGTGCATTGTAGGATGTTTAGCATCACCTCTGGCCTCTACCTACCAGATGTCAGTAGCATGCCTTCTTACCCAGTTAGGACAACAAAAAAGTGTCTCCAGACATTGCCAAATGTCTCCTGGGGATAAAATTTCCCCCGGTTGAGAATGATTGTGCTGATGCAATACTGCGACACCCCCCGCCCCCCCAAAAAAAGGTTTGATAAGGAAGAAACTGGTGCCTCTGAGTGAGTGATACTGCTACCATGTTTCCCCAAAAATAAGACATCCTCCGAAAATAAGACCTAGCGCATGGAAAGATAAGACATCCCCTGAAAATAAGACCTAGCGCAACTTTGGGAGAAAAAATTAAATAAAAGATACTGTCTTATTTTCGGGGAAACAGGGTAACAGCAGGGTATTAGAGTAGTGCCACTCAAAATGTAACCACTGGACCAGCAGTATCAACATCACCTCGGAGCTTGTTACAAATGCATTCTCACTTAACCCTAACATATCATATTGTGTCAGAAGCTCCAGAGATGGCATCCAGGAACTTGTGATTGAACAAGTCCTCCATGTGATTCTTTTTTTTTTTTTAAATATATTTTATTGATTTTTTAGAGAGGAAGGGAAAGACATGGAGAGTTAGAAACATCAATGAGAGACAGTCATCGATCAGCTGCCTCTTGCACACCCCCTACTGGGGATATGCCCGCAGCCAAGGTACATGCCCTTGACTGGAATTGAACCCGGGACCCTTCAGTCCACAGGCCGATGCTCTATCCACTCAGCCAAACCGGTTTCGGCTCCATGGGATTCTTATAAATGTTAAGTTTGGGCGATGAGGACACATTTACCAAGAAAGTTGTGAAACTGCAGGATTGTGACGAAAGGTGCAGTCTGGGACTGTCTAAATCAAAGCTAAGTGGCCTCAAGAGTTTGAAATGAACAAGATGAGCACATACTAGAGGAATGGACAGCAGCAATAGTATCAAAGGATGGGATACCTAGAGGACTGAGCATCATTAGGTAAAAGGTAATGATATTGTATTAACAGCCATATTAACTTATTATTATTATTAATAAAGAAAATTCTCTGAGGCTCAGACTTGTTTAGCCCTTCCTAAAAGAGAAGTAGGAGAATTTGTTTAAAATTTAATTTGAATGACATAAAAAATTCCTGTCTATACAAACACTGGGGGCCCAGTGCACGAAATTCGTGCACGGGGTTGTGTGTCTCTCATCCCAGCCTGCACCCTCTACAATCTGGGACCCCTCGAGAAATGTCTGACTGCCAGTTTTAGCTTGATCCCAGTAGTATCGGGCCTAAATGGGCAGTTGGACATCTCCCTCATGATCCAGGACTGCTGGCTCCCAACTGCTCACTTGCCTGCCTTCCTGATTGCCCCTAACTACTTCTGCCTGCCTACCTGATCACCCTCTAATCACTCCTTTGCCAGCCTGATAGATGCCTAACTGCTACCCTGCCAGCCTGATTGCCTCTAACTGCCCTCCTCTGCAGGCCTGGTCACCTCTAACTGCCCTTCCCTGCAGGCCTGGGTCCACCCACAACTGCCCTTCCCTGCAGGCTCAGTCATCCCCAACTTCCCTACTCTGCTGGTCTGGTCACCCCTTATTGCCCTCCCCTGCAGGGTTGATTGCCCACAACTGCCCTCCCTTGCAGGCCTAGTCCCTCCCAACAGCCCTCCCCTGCTGGCCATCTTGTGGCAGCCATCTTGTGTCCAAATGGGGACAGGATCTTTGACCATATGGGAGTAGCCATCCTGTGTGTTGGAATGACAGTCAATTTGCATATTACTTTTTTATTAAATAGGATAGAGGCCTGATGTATGGGTGGGGATTGGTTGGTTTGCCCTGAAGGGTATTCCAGATCAGGATGGGGGTTCCCTTGGGGCATAGGGCAGCCTGGGCGAAGGGCCTGTGGTGGTTTGCAGGCCAGCCATACACCCAAGTGGAGGCCTGGGTATCTGGGATTTATTTATCTTCTACAATTAAAACTTTGTAGCCTTGAGTCGAAGCCGGTTTGGCTCAGTGTATAGAGCGTCGGCCTGCAGACTGAAAGGTCCCGGGTTCGATTCCGGTCAAGGGCATGTAATTTGGTTGCGGGCACATCCGCAGTGGGGGGTGTGCAAGAGGCAGCTGGTTGATGTATCTCTCTCATCGACGTTTCTAACTCTCTATCCCTCTCAATTCCTCTCTGTGTAAAATCAATAAAAATATATTAAAAAACAAAAAAACAAAAAAAAACTTTGTAGCCTTGAGCATAGGCCAGAGCTGGCCAGAGCGGGTGGGAAGCTTGGCTTTCTCCATTGCCGGGGAAACCCAAGCCTCCTGCTTACTCTGGCTACAGCCATCTTGGTTGGGTTAATTTGCATACTCGCTCCTGATTGGATGATGGGCGTGGCTTGTGGGCAGAGCAGAGGTATGGTCAAGGTATGGTCAATTTGCATGTTTCTCTTTTTTTAGTGTAGATCTCTATCTCATTGTCCTGTCACTATTGCTAAACTTTCTACTTGAGTTATGGGGAGTCACCTCAAGATATGCCTCTGTGGTATGCAGATTGTTTTGAGATAAAGGCTACTTTAGCCTCAGGCTGAAGAGAAACTTCTATCCCTCCCTTAACCACCTAGAAGAATTTAAATTAGAGGCCTTGGCCATAATAAGTGATTATTAGAAGTAATCTCTTTTGACCTATATGTAGGGCAGGACAAACTTTATTTCCTGAACACCTGCTCTTCTTACCATCTTGCAATGACAATTTGAAACCCCCAAGGTACCTAACTCATCCCTAGCTCAGGAAATCTTATATACTTCAATTCCCCTATCTACCATGTTTCCCCGAAAATAAGACATCCTCCGAAAATAAGACCTACTTACAGGTTTCCTTCTGAGTGAAATATAAGGCATCCCCCAAAAATAAGGCCCCCCTAGGCTAAACATGAGAGATTTGGTCCACTAATTCTGAAAGAAATGGAATCACAAGAAATTCACCAGGAAATTCAAGAATTGGATTGTTATGATGATGTTCCAGAAGATGATGACACGATTGTCATTGAATAAATGAATAAATTCTTGATACTGTAGGATTCACAGTTTGTCTGGTTTGTGTTGACAACTATCGTACTACTGTACCGTATACAGGCAATAAATTTCCTTTATTTTCATTTAACAAACAATAAATGTGTACAGTATTCTTCTTCATGGAAAAATAAGACATCCCCTGAAAATAAGACCTAGTGCATCTTTGGGAGCAAAAATTAATATAGGACACTGTCTTATTTTCAGGGAAACAGGGTATCTCAGAAACTCTCATGCATGTGAGGGGGTCTCTGACTCTTTCACATATGTGGGTTTCCTATATATACGTATGTATTAAATCTGATTATTTTCTTTTGCTGATCTACTTTTATCTATTTAATTGTTAGATTAGCCAAAAGAACCTTGAGGGTAGAAAAATATTTGCCCTCCCCCACAGGTGTAGCATAATATATACATTTGTGAAAAACTTCATGTCCTGCAAAATTGTGCACTAAAAATAATAGGGCTCATGGGAAAACCAGAGTGCAGCCACACCATTTAAATTTATGCTACTTTGCCTTAACTGGTTTGGCACAGTGGATAGAGTGTTGGTCTGTGGCTGAAGGATCCCAGGTTCAATTCTGATGCCTAAGGTTGTGGGCTCGATTCTCAGTAGGGGGTGTGCAGGAGGCAGCCTATCAGTGATTCTCTCTTATCATTGACGTTTGTATATCTCTCTTTCCCTCTCCCTTCCTCTTTGAAACCAATGAAAATGTTTGTTTTAAAAGAAAGATATACTATATTGCCCTGGTTAGTGAGCTCAATGGTTAGAGCCTCCACAAATGCACCAAAGGGTCACAGATTCAATTCCTGGTACCTGGATTGCAGGATAGATCCCTGTCCCCCAGCAGGACACAAGCAGGAGACAACCAAACGATGTGTCTCTCATGTTGATTTTTTTTTTCTCTCTCACCCTATTTCTCTTCTACTCTCTAAAAACCAAGAGGGGAAAAAAAGTATTCTCAGATGAGAAATAATAGAAAGATATTTATGAATTTATGCTTTGTTAAAATGGCAATACTCCTCAACTAACCTACAGATTCAATGCAATCTCTGTCAAAATTCCAATGGTTGTTTTTGCAGAAATTAACACGCTAAAATTTCTAAAATTTATATGGAAATTCAAGGACCCAGAATATCCAAAACAGTCTTGAAAAAACACCCACAAATTCCTTATTTCAAAATTTAATATAAAAGCTACATTAATCAAATGTGGTACTGACAATATAGAAATCAATGGCTTAGAACTGAGTCTAGAAATAAACCCTCAAATTTATGGTAAATTAATTTTTGACAAGGGTTCCAAGACAATTCAATGGAAGACAGAATAATCTTTAGAATACATGATCATGGGACAAATGGATATTCACATGTGAAAGAATAAAATTGAACCCTTATATCATGCCATATATAAAAATTAACTGCCAATGGGTCACAGAATGGGAAAAAATTTTGCAGTTCAAATATGTAATAAGGTGAGAGGGTTAACTTGAAATGCAGGCAGATAGGACAGGGATCCAGTGGAAAACAAAGGCAGGTGAAACAGGTAGGGGTAGACACAGCAGCTTAAGCCAGCCTAACCACAGGAACCAACCAAGAAGAAATAATAAAATGTTTCTGGACTCAAAGCAGAAGGCATGGGAAAACAAGGGAGAGCCCGTAGCAACACCATATATGAACACATAGAAACAGAAAAAGTTCAGCATAGAAACAGAGAAAGATCACATAGAAACAGAGCAAATTCAGATCTATTGCTGGACAAAAATAATTGAGGAAATTAATTAGGTGATGACATGGATAGACATAGAAGCAGACTTGTAGCAAATATTTATAAGGCTTTGACAGGCAGCTCACTATTGGGTCTTCCTCCCCTTGCAGGGAGTCTGAATATGCTTGTAATAAATTTTCCACATTTTTGCTTAAATCTCTGGTCTGTGTAGCTCATTCTACAGTGTCATGAGACACAACCCTGGGAAAACACCTCAGCCCATAGTTCTGATCATCAAAGGATCTAGTGTTCACAATATATAAAGAATTCTTAAGCTCAAGAATAAAAAGACAAATAACTCAAAATAGGCAAAATATTTGGACATTTCTTTGAAGAATATATGCAAACGGACAATAACACATGAAAAGATGTCAAAATCACCTCATTAGTAAAATGCCAATCAAAACCACAATGAGATACCACTTCACACCCAGTAGGATGGCTATCCTATCTAATAAAAAAGTAATATGCAAATTAACCATAACTCCACCACACCCACAAGCTATGCCTATAACTACGCCCACCAGCCAATCAGGAGTGAATATGCAAATAAACCCAACCAAGATGGCTACTGACACAGAGAGCAGGAGGAAGGCTTGAGTTTCCCCGGCAATGGAGGAAGCCAAGCTTTATGTCTGCCCTTGCTGGCCTAGGCCTCCACTCAAGTCTACAAAGTTTCAATGATAGAAGATACATAAATCCAAACAGAAATGGCGGCAGCCACTGAGCTGGAAGAGCAGGAGCCTAGGGTTTCCCCGGGCGATGAAGGAAGCCAAGCTCTGCAGCCCTTGCTGGCTCAGGTCTTCACTCCAGGCTACAAAATTTCAATTATAGAAGATATATAAATTCCAACAGAAATGGCTGCCACCACGGAGCGAGCAAGAGACTTGGCTCCACTCCAGGCTACAAAGTTTCAATTGTAGAAGATAAATAAGTTCCAGATACCAGCACCTCCACTTGGGTCACCAGGGACATAGCTGACCTACAAATCACCACAGGCCCCTCACCCAGGCCGACCCAGGCCCCAAGAGAACCCCCATCCTGATCCGGAACACCCTTCTGGGCAAACCAGCTAGCCCCTACCCATGCACCAGGCCTCTATCCTGTCTAATAAAAGAGTAATATGCAGATTGACCATCACTCCAACACACAAGATGGCTGCCCCCAGGTGGCCAAAGATGGCTGCCCCCATGTGGACACAAGATGGCTGCCACAAGATGGCCAGCAGGGAAGTGCAATTGGGAGGGACCAGGCCTGCAAGGGAAGGCAGTTGGGGGCAATCAACCCTGCAGGGGAGGGCAGTTAGGGGTGACCGGGCCAGCAGAGAAGGGAAGTTGGGGGCAAACAGGGTGGCAGGGGAGCAGTTAGACATCAATCAGGCTGACATGGGCGTGGTTAGGGGGTGATCAGGTTGGCAGGCAGAAGTGGTAAGGGGCAATCAGGAAGGCAGGCAAGTGAGCAACTGGGAGCCAGCAGTCCTGGATTGTGAGAGGGCAGTTGGACATTTCTAGAGGGTTCCCAGATTGGAGAGGGTGCAGACTGGGCTGAGGGACCCCCCTTCCCATGCTTGAATTTTGTGCACCAGCCCTCTAGTTAAGTTAATAACAATGTACCTACTTATATAGTTTAAGTTTAAAAAATTTGGCTCTCAAAAGAAATTTCAATCTTTGTACTGTTGATATTTGGCTATGTTAATTAATGAGTTTGCCGACCACTGTTTTGAAATACAGTGGTCTGTCTGATAGAAAGAAACAAATATCACATGATTTCACTTATATGTGGAATCTGAAAAACAAAATAAACAAAACAGAAACAGACTCATAGATACGGAGAACAAACTGATGGTTGCCAGGTGGGAGAGGGAGGGAGGGTTGGGTGAAAAGGTGAAATGATTAAGAAGTACAAATTGGCAGTTACAAAATAGTCAGAGGGATGTAAATTACAATAGAAAAATATAATAAATAATATTGTAATAATTATGTATGGTGTCAGGGAGGTACTAGACTTATTAGAGGTATCATTTCATAAGTTATATGTCACTATGCTGTATACCTGAAACTAATATGATATGGAAAGTCAACTGTAACTGAAAAATTTTTTAAATTATAAAAACAAAAGCAAAGGAAAAAAGAAAGACTCATTGACAACATCATGGTGAATGGAAGAGGAAATGGGGAGTGGGGAAAAGTAGAAGAGTGTAAAAGGGGGATAAATGGCAATGGAAGGAGACTTGACTTGGGGTGGCAAACACACAATACAATATACAGATGATGTATTACAGAATTGTATACATGAAACCTATAAAATTTTATTAACCAATGTCATCCCAATAAATTTAATTTTTAAAAAACAGAGATTAAAAATAAAATTGTCATGTGACCAGCTTTTATATTTGTAGATATATGCCCAAGAGAAATAAAAACATATTCATACCAAAACTTATACGGAAAAGTTCACAGCACTATTCATCACAGCCAAAAAGTAGCCACAACCTAAATGTCTATTAATTGATGGATAGAAAATGTTCTCTAATTAGATAGTGGTGGTGATTGTACACTTGAAATTACTAAAACTCACAGAATTACACACTTCAAAATGATAAATTTTATAGCACATAAATTATAATTTTTTTAAAAGGAGTATCCAAGAGCCTCAGCCAGTTTTAGCTTCCACCCATACCAACCTAGGGATGTCAACTTCTAGAGATCAGATCCTCAAAAATATATGTGCCTTAAAAAGTACCTATTTTCTGTCCTGCCAGCTGCTGCCAGTTCAGACCCAAAGAATATTAGCGATCTACTGGTTCTAACCCTAAAATAACTTTATACCAGTGTTCCATTCAGAACCTCAAGACCAGTTGATTCTATTCATGTCTTTTATCTCAGTCATCCTCAATCACTGGAAATGTAAACTTGCAATTTCTATCTAGAGCCCATCTAAAAGAGCCAACTGAGCACCACGTCCTCTACATTGTGGAATTGTTATCAGTTAGACTGACTTTATTTGTGTGTCATAAATCTGCTTTTAACAATACAGAAGGATATCTTACATGTTTGGAGAAAGAATGACTAGCCTAGGGTTTTCCAATTCAGTAGCTGAATCAAGGGTCCAGTATTGTCCCACCCTTCTGTGTTCTTCAGATTTCATCCCCACTAATCATTCTCAGACTTTAAACATCTAAAAGAAGAAGAAGGGCTCATTTTATTTTGTCTTTTAAAAAAATTTAATAAACCTTTTCCAGAAGTTATCAATGGTTTTTCTTCATGTCTCATTGACCAAAATTGCAACACATCTATGCCTATACAAACCACTGAAAAGAGAGATGGAAATTGTTGTATATTAGCTTAGACCAATCAGGATGTAAACCTCTCTCTCCCCCCTTAGAAGTAATTAGCTTTCTTTTATTTTTATTTTATTATTTTTAAAATCCTCACTAGAGGATATTTTTCCATTGATTTTTAGGGAAAGTGGAAGAGAGAGGGAAAGACAGAGAGAAACATCGACGCACATTGATCAGTTGCCTCATGCACAAGCCTGGACCAGAACCCCGGCTGGAGAGGAGCCTGCAACCAAGTACATGCCCTTGATCAGAATCAAGCCCAGCACCTTTTGGTCTGCAGGCCTGTTCTCTATCCACCAAGTCAACCAGGCTAGGGCAGGATGTACCCTTGAGTTAAAGATAGGTTCATGTGATTGGGTACATGGTAGAGCAAGAGAAAAACTAAAAACAAATTCCGGGTAGGTATCCAACAGTGTCTATTAAATGTCTATGATTTGCTTTTCACCCATTCACATTTAAGCAAATCTTCCCAACTCACTAAGTCATGTCCACAAACACAGATGTCACTATTTATTCACTGCATCATTTTAAAATGTGAACTGGCAAACAATGCCCATCAGAGGTTTAGAAAAACCTGCAACATGGAAATGAAAGATCATGAAAAAGACTTCTGTTTTCAATTTGAATAAAGTAACTGATATTGCACACAAGACCTTCTACCAATGTAATTATCAAACTGGGAAAAATAAATTAAATAATTGTTTTTAGATATTGGTCAATAGGAAAGAGAACTATAACCCCTAATAGAAGAAAAAAACGAACAAACTTCATGACCATCATAACTTTTTGCATGGAAACACTTTCCAGATAACAGTCAGGGAAGGCCAAACAAACCATGGTAGCGTCAATGAGCTGAGGAGATAGAGATCAGATATCAGAGAGGAAGAAGCTGTACAGAGACGTTTACACAGGGAAAGATTCCACGAAACTAAACAAAGAACAACTATTAGGGAGAGAACACTTCTGGGGAGCAAGAGGCTGAATAATGACCAGAGGTTGCACAGGAATGGGAGATGTTGGTATTACAACCAGCCATTGTGAAGAGATTGCATTAACTACCCTAGGAATCTATTCGATAGTAGACACCCCAGAAAGGCTTGGATTTAGGAATAGACTTAATTTAGCACTATAGCAGCACTACTAAAGAGAAATATTATAAATATCGTTAAAAATTATCTTGTAACCTTTTAAAAAAGTGAAAATCACCTGGCCACCATTGCTCAGTGGTTGAGCATCAACACATGAACCAGGAGGTTATGGTTTGGTTCCTGGTCAGGGGACTCGATGCCTGGGTTGTGGGCTCGATCCGCAGTTAGGGGCTTGCAGGTGGCAGCCTATTGATGATTCTCTCTCATCATTGATGTTTCTATCTCTCCCTTCCTCTCTGAAATCAATAAAATTATATTTAAAAAAAGAAAAACAAATGGATATTCTAGAACTGAAAAAAAAAGATTAAAATGAAAAACTGACTAGCTAGTTTAATAGGAATTAGACATTACAAAATAAAATAAATGAAGTTGAAGGCAAAGCAATGGAACCCATCTATAATAAACTGAATCAAGAGAGAAAGAAACAAAATCATCCAAGCCTCAGTGACTGTGGGACATTATCAAGTTGTCTGATTCAGTGTCTGGTGAAGTCCAGCTTCCTATTCATATACATCTGTCTTCTCACTGTTCTCACAGGGTGCAAGGGAGCAAGGAAGCTCTCTTTGGTTTCTTTTACAAGAGTACTCATGTCGTTCATGAGGCCTCTGCCCTCATTATGTCATCACTTCCTAATGGCACCCTCCCTCCATCTAATTGGGGATTAGGTTTCAACATATGAATTTTGGGGAGGGATGAATAGTCAGTCTATGGCACCAGATAAACAAAAAAATCTGTGGACTCGTCTATAATTTTCCAAGTGTAAAAGGGTTCTAAGACCAAAAGTTTGAGAACTTCTCTTTAACCCTTTTCCATATACAACCTCACTAAAAATATATTCCTATTCACCTCTGTCTTCAACACCAACATAACTCCCATTAATCAGTAGTGAGGACCATTATCAGAAGAGATGGGAAGAGAGAGCCTACAAATAGTACTGTCATTTGTCTTCTAGTAGGTATCTCATCTTTCTTTTGTGAATCCTTGATATTGATTTCTATGTAGCTCTGGCCAATAAATACTTGAAATCTCATGTGGGTAATGATACTCTTGACATTTTGGCTATAGGAATATTAGTTGGAACTAATTATGTCTTTTTTAAAATCTAGCCTAAATACATGGATGCTACATAGAGATTATGGGGAAGATAAAGAAGTTCTATTACTATCTAACTATTCTCCAGTTACAGAAGAAAATAATAAATTATTGTAAGATGAAAGATAACTTAGGATATCTTTGGACAGAACTAAAACAGAAAGAATCACAGAACAGTATCACATTTAATTTCAAGAAAGGTGCTCTCCAGAAGATCAAAAAGTGCTAGCCTTTCAAGAGTCACTGATGAAATGGGTGTGTGTGTGTGTGTGTGTGTGCGTGTGTGTGTGCGTGTGTGTGTGTGTGTTAACAAAATTGTTCTCACTAAATTCACCACAGGGCTCCTAATAGTTAGAAAACGGTGGCACATCTACACAATAGAATACTACAATGTAGTAAAAATGAAGGAATTCTTACCATTTGCAACAGCATGGATGGAACTGGAGACCATTATGCTAAGCAAAACAAACCAGTCAGAGAAAAATATCTATCACATGATCTCACTCATTTGGGGAATATAATGAACAACATAAACTGATGAATAAAAACAGATCCAGAGACAGAGAAGCATCGATGAGACCTTCAAACCTCAGAGGGAAGGTAGGAGAAGGTGGGATAAGGGAGAGAGATCAACCAAAGGACTTGTATACATGCATATAAGCCTAACCAATGGACACAGACAACAAGGCGGTGAGGGCATGAGTGTGGGGGGGAGAGGCAATGAGGGGATAAGGACACATATGTAATACCTTAATCAATAAAGAAAAAATTAAAGAAAATAAATCAATAATCTAGTTTGAGACTTTATATTATTTGCTTTCTTCAACAGTTGATATAGCTAAACCAACTTTTGTTTTATAAAACATTTTCTCTCACTTCCATTTGCTTATTCTCTAAAGCATTTTCTCCTTCTTGGTCTATCATTCCTTTGTAATTTTCTTAACCATTTCCCACCTTTGCTTCTTACAGGAAAAAATCTCCACAATAAAACAAAACAAACATAACCCCCCCCCACACACACACACACACACACAATGCCCTAAAACATTAGTGTCCTTCTGGATTGTGTTCTGTTTTTGGTCCTTTTCTCTTCTCACTGAGATACCTCATTCATAGCCTTCTACTACACCCAAGCAAGCCCTAATAATTCTCATTATCTCCAGATCCATGTTTCTCACTGACTACTGGATATCTTTGCCTGGATGCTCTGCAGGCATCTCAAACTTAAAATGTCCAAAGCTTATCTCTCCTCCAAAAAGTACTCCTCCTTTTCTATTCCCTATCTCACAGAGTGGTACCACCATCCACCCAGGAACCCAGGCCAGAAACCTGGGTGTCATCGTGAACTCCTCCCTCTCCACACTAACTGGCCCAGTAAGTATTCTTTTTTTTTTTTTAAATAAATTTTCTTTTTAAAAAATATATTTTATTGATTTTTCACGAAGAGGAAGGGAGATAGAGAGCTAGAAACATCGATGAGAGAGAAACATCAATCAGCTGCCTCCTACATACCCCCCACCGGGGATGTGCCCCCAACCAATGTACCGTATTTTTCGGACCATAAGACGCACTTTTTTTCCCCCAGAAGTGGGGGGAAAAAGACCCTGCATCTTATGGTCCAAATATAGCCTACACATATACTTTAAAAAAAAAGTTTTTTTACTTGCCCGGCTCTGTATGGTCTCTGTGTGCTTGCCCGGCTCTAAAATGGTTCTAAATGCTGCTGTTTACTTTACAGGGTTGATTACATGTGTTTATGACTGTGATGTTGGGTTTTAATGCACATAAAATATTTTAGGACACTATTTGTTTCAGAATCTTTTTTTCTTCATTTCCCTTCTCTAAAAACTGGTGCGTCTTATGGTCCGGTGCATCTTATGGTCCGAAAAATACGGTACATGCCCTTGACCGGAATCGAACCTGGGACCCTTCAGTCCACAGACTGACACTGTATCCACTGGTTCTGGCCCAGTATTCTTAATTCTACATTTCTGCAGCCCAATCTCTCCCTCTAGTACCCTAGGAGACTTCACCTATTCTTAACAATATTGTCAACAAAAACATCTTAGCAAGTCTGCCCTACTACCAGACTCTGCCTTTCTAATTCTTTCTTTAGAATAAATGACATCAGACTTCGGTTTCACTATTGAAGAAAGTTTTTAAAAAGATTCTGAGAAATGACATACGAGGCCTTTAGTTGTGTTTTTTTTTTTTTTTTTTTTGGGGGGGGTGTCAAGGCACAAAAGAATCAACATCATCTGTTCTCACTGTCATTTCATCATAATAATTTTAAAGAACTGTTCAACTTCAAAAATCAGAAGGTACAAAAACAAACAAATAAACAAAAAAACACACACACAAAAAAACCACCCAAACCAAACAAAACAGAAAGCACCAAATTATCAAAGCAGAAAAAAGTCATTTAAATATACTTGGCTTTTTTAATAAAACAGTTTTCTGGATGGGAACCACTGTTCTAAAATTTAGACTGCCATTAGAGTCATCTTTCACAAAGCAAACATGACTAATTTCCCCTAGCTTGAAAACCTGTTTATATTATGTAAACTAGGAGTGTCGAACTCAATCAGAGAAGGGGCCAAAATCTAAAATCCAGCCTAAATCGCGGGCCGAATGGTTTACTGAACAGTCATAAACTGTCATTGTGATGGAAACGCAGCGGAGTGCAGTGATGACAGCGCGGTGCGGGCCACATTGCAAGGCCTGGCGGGACGGATTTGGCCCGCAGGCCTTGTGTTTGACACATGTGATGTAAACACTTAAATTCATCCACATAATCTACATGCATATCATTTTACTATCTTTTAATGGATAAACAGTATACATGGTATTGATATGCTATTGATATGTCTGCTGTCTTCTATTTTAGGCATTTTCTTAAATATCAAAATTTAAATATCCTTTGTCACATATCACCTTAAAGCCTTTTAATAAAAGCCACACTCTTTACATTAACACACTATTTAAGGCAATTTATAATTTGGTCATAATTTACTTACGTCTCAGCAAAAAATTCCCCTGAGCATAACACATTTTTTTCATGCCTTTATGCCAGTGATTCTCAACCAACAATTCCCTGCCCCTTTCTCCAAGAAGATATTTGGCAATGTCTGTTATAGTCTGAGTTGTGTCCCCTCCCAAATTCATGTGTTGAAGCCCTAAACCCCCAATGTGGCTGTATTTGGGTAATACACACACACATTGGCAAAAGTAGGTTTACAGCTGCGAGTACATGAAAGAGTTAATAAAGCGATTGCAATAATCATAACCTGCTCATCCCTGTATATCATACAATTTGAACATTTTAAAAGTAATATGTATAGAATTTTTAAAACATAGATATGAAAAAAATCCTTTGTATTTCCCTTAAATGTCAAGCAATCAAGCTTTCCCATTTTTTAAAACCTTTTTCTTCTCGAAACTGGTTTGGTTCAGTGGATAGAGCGTCGGCCTTTGGACTGAAGGGTCCCAGGTTCAATTCCGGTCAAGGACATGTACCTGGTTGCGGGCACATCCCCAGTGGGGGGTGTGCAGGAGGCAACTGATCCATGTCTCTCTCTCATTGATGTTTCTAACTTTTTATCCCTCTCTCTTCCTCTGTAAAAAATCAATAAAATATATTTAAAAAAAACACATATTTCTTGTTAACCCATTGCCAAATGTTACATAATATGTGTGCCTTAAATTATTTAGGCCATCATATAATCTACACAAATGGAAAAAATTTTTTTGTTTTTTTAAACACACTCCCCGGCCCTTCCCCTCCATCACAAATGAAAATTTTTTTAAGAGTATGGCTTATTAACAATATTAGCTAACACATCACTTTTGTGTCAGACATCATACTATCATAAGTCCTTTCTCTCAATTTTTAAATTTAATTTCCATTTCCTATAATATTGTACTATCATTATCCTAATTTTACAAATGAATAAACTAAAATTTGGAGAGATTTACCTGTCCAAAGCATAACAATAGCAAGGATTTCAAAGAAAATAAGGGGGTAATTATGTTGTCAATTTTGGAATCAAAATTTTCTGAGCAAAAATAGATTTTTTTGACAAAATAATAAATGTTTAATAGTAATGCATTGATTTTTATAATAGGACAAGTATCTCTCTTAAGGGGGAAAAACTTTCGTCAGATTATCTAGGTAGCAGCTGAGACAAAATGACTTCATGTAATTAGCTAGCAGCTACTGGTATTGAGTTAGGTGTATTTATTATAGGTTTTCTTAGATTATTTAAGTTTTCAACATTTCTTACTCTTCTACCTCATTCAATTTTCTTTTGCAGAGAAAACCAAATGATGAAAATAGGAATGTCATGTACTATTTTAAGTACAGTTAACTTAGTTACCACAAACTCTTCAGTGTCCTGGAAAATAATCTCCCAGCAAATATCCATTATCAAGCTTTTAAGATACGTATTGTTTTTTACTACTATCTTAAAGTTTTGTTTTATTTCCTCTTTTCAGGAAAGGAAGGGACAGGAGTACAGTACAATTCTTTTGCAGCAAGAAATAATAATTTTTATTATGGCAGTTTTGCATCTTATTTTTCTCACTGAACAAACTTTCACTTTGACAATTCTGTAGATCAATTTATACCTTAAGAACCTGGGTCAAAATTCATCTATCATTGGTTTTCTCTTTTAGGTTCCTGTGTTTCCTGGGGTGGGTCTAAGGTAGTAACCATGATGCAAGTGTTCCCACAACCTAGAGAGGAAATGAGAAGATTTACAACAAAGTTTGAAGGCATTTTTTTATGTGGCAGGTTTTTTTTTAATAGCTTTTGGGAGTAGCTTTGCACTTCAACAAGGGTAAGCTTTGAATCCTCCTGAGGTTGACCAGCTACATCTTGCCCTCAATTTGAAGATCTTTTAAACCCTTTAAAAATTCCTCAGCTTTGTGATAGATTAATATGAAATAGAAATAATTAATAAATAAGGAAAGTATTAGCATCTTATTTTATTTCTTTAAAAATATTTTTTATTGATTTCAGAGAGGAAGGGAGAGGGAGAAAGTAATAGAAACATCAATGATGAACCATGGATCGACTGCCTCCTCTATGCCCCACATTGGGCATATGCCGACTGGGAATTGATCCCCGACTCCTGGTTCATAGGTGGACGCTCAAACACTGAACCACACCATTCTACTGTTTTCTTACATATTTGTTTCATTGAAAACCCTAAGCTTTTTTCAGGGTACAGATATTTTATCTTATTCACTTTTGCATCTTTTACCAACAAAACTTACTACTAGTCTACACTATCAATAAATATTTACTGAATAGATCTGAAATTTCAATTGGTAAGGCAGCATACAAAATCATTAAACTTTTGGTGCCTGATGACCTGGGTTTGGATCCTAATTTTGACTAACTTGTTGTATGTCCTGGTACATACTACCCAAGCTCTCTAATTTCCTCAACTCAAACGTGGAATGAAATGAGATAATGAATGCAAAGTGCTTGGCACTTCCCAAGTACCCATGTATACAATGGGTAATTACTAAGCTCCTATGACACTCTAACTTAGCGGTAGGTATTGGTGATGAGTATACAATATGCAGGATTCCTGTCTTCATGGAGAACTGGGGAGATAGACATCAAACAATCGCACAAATTAACGAATGACAAGTTGCCGTGAACTCCATGAGAGACTCTATGAGGGCAGGGCCTGATTTATTTAGATGGCTGAGGAAGGATTCTCTGAGGGAGTGAGTGGCCTTTCAGTTGAAACTTGACGGACCAGGAAATTCTTTCCCCATGTGCCTCACCTCTCTTTAGTCTGGCTTCCATCTGTCCACCTAAACAGCTCTTGCTAAGGCCACCAACGGCTTCCACCTGACACATTTCTGTCCTTTTACTTGGCCTTTCAGTAGCACTCAACGCAGCGGGCCTCTCCCTTCTAGAGACGCGGTCTTCCCTTGGCTCCTCCACTGAGCGCCTCCTCATCTCTTCCCCTCGGCAGGTTCGTCTCAAGTGTCCGGACGGCCTCGCCGGGAGCTGTCATTGTGAATAACAACGCAGCCCTTTTGAGTCCTAAGAACAGGAGTGTGTATAAGGGAGACCATTTTCCAGCCCCTCTTCTGGCTCTCAGTGGGTTTTTATAAAACCGCGAATATCAGACTTTTCGCTTCCAATAGAGATTCCTTCTCGGCGGACTGCGCCTGTGCGCACAGGCGTCCAACAGGTTCCCAGGCCCGCACGTCCACTTTGGGGGATGAATGAACGCCTGAGGCGCGGGAGGAGGCAGGTGTCGAGCTCCGCACCAGCTAACCGCAGCCAGGCCCGCCTCTCCCACGTTTCAGGCTCCGCCGCCGCCTCCGCCTCAGCCGCTGCCTCGCCCTACCTGAGGTGAATGAGTCCGCCGCACACCGCGAGCGCCCCTAGTCCTCCGCCGTCCCAGCATTCCCCGCGCCCCGCCGTGCAGAGCGGCTTCCGGCGGGCGTCGGTGGTGGAGGTGAAGGAGCGGGCTCTCGCCGCTCGCTCTCACTCCCTCGCGCTCTCTCTTGGGCAACATGGCGGCCGTGGAGGAGGCAGCGTCCTCCGGGAACCTCCTGAATGGCGACCTGGATCCGGACGACAGGGAAGAGGGAGCTGCCTCTACGGCGGAGGAGGCAGCCAAGAAAAAGAGGCGAAAGAAGAAAAAGAGTAAAGGGGTTGCCACAGGTAAAGGGAATTTGTATGTTGTTTTTTCCAGGGATGGCCGAACGACTTGGCTGGCTCAGGCCCGGCGTGGATGACAGGGACCGGGCACTCGGAGCCCTGGACTGCACTGATTCCCAGGACTGAGCGTGTGGCGAGGCCGGGCTAACAGAGTCTCAGCCCCCGGCGGGGAGGCGGCTTCTCGTCCCGCGGGACTGGAGAGCTGGTGGAAGCGTGGAGAGGGAGAGGAGGGTCGCTCAGCTTCCCTTGGGGAGCTCTGGGGTCGGTAGGCCGGAGCCCCTGAGTTGCCAGAACTCGACTCCCGCACAGACTGTGCAACGGGCTGGAAGCCGTGCACCGAGCCCAGCCCTACCTACCGCCTTCCTCGCGGTTTGGCCTCCTCAAAAAGCTTGTTCTGACCCGCACAGCCCGCCGCCCCTTTGCTAGAGCATCCTGGTACTTAACTTTCGCCGAGAGTGTGGGTGAAGTGGACAAGCCCTAGCGCCTAGACCGCGCCTCACCCCGCCACCCCAGTTTACAGAAGGGTTTTTGGTGCGGGCTTCACTTTTGGGAGGTGTGTATATATGCCCACGCGCTCCTGTCACTGAGTTGTAATTGCAGAATGTGTATCTGTGCGAATTTTCACTTGTCAAGTCCCATGGCATCATCAAGTTTTAGGGTTTTTAGGCTTGAATTAATAATGGCATTGCAGGAGTCTATTTATATATAGGGTATTCTGTGGCTCAGAGTTGAACTTCTCCAAATCCACTGGTAAGGCAAGGAAAACAGCTAAAAAACAAAACAAAAAACTTAACATCTGGGTTATATAGTATGAGTTATTTTACTTTGAGAAGTCAGTGTTTTTGTTGCAGTAGGGTCCTTCATTTTAGGAAAATTATTTACAGCTGTTTCATTTTAGGCAGGAAAAAAAAAATATTTGTACCTGTGAAAACCATGAAAGAATGAAAGAAAAAAGGAGAGGCCAGAAGTGATGAGTGTGGAGTTAAGAGAAGTTGGAGAGGGTTAATCTATCTCTTTCTGAAATTTTGATTAGATGGGAGTTGAAGAGGGAGAGTTGTAGGTGCTGAGACACTTCCAAGTTAATCCTGGGCCACAGGCTAGTGGCTCTTCCTGGGTTTCAGATGAAGTCCAAACTCTTCAGTTTGGTCTTTAAGGTGTGTTCAGCAGACTGACCCTAATATATTTTTAGCAGTTGTAGCTTTCAATATGAATGCTCTACAAAAGCCAGAATGTCACTTAATTATGTACTACTTCATATTACTATCTTTCTACACACGCATATTTCTCCTCTAGCTAGATTATAATCACTTCCAGAGCAGGGGCCTGATCTTATGCTTAGCAGTTCAAGAATTTTGTGTTTTAGTAATGGAATGTCTTCTTATTTATTTGATTTTACCTAGCCCAGTTTGACAACTTTTTTCTTCAAGAATCCCTGAAGCCCCCCAATGTCCCCCAGAAATCCTCTTCACTAAGGTCTTCAGCATTTATTGCCTATCTTAAGTACCTGTTTGATTATGAAAGTATTTATTGTAGTCTAATTGTTAAATACTTTAAAAAGTTAAACTACTTAAATATAGGGACCAACTCACACTTTTGCTTAACCTTTAGCTGCTATCACAGAGAATGTATTTTGTTGAATGGACAGGACTGCTTAGATTTGGGAGACTTTTCTTTGTCATTAAATAAATTCTGTTAATGTTCACAGTAATGTTTGTTTTTGTTTCCTAAACATCTACCAGGAAAGGTGTTCCAATATCTGTAGGACATATTCTAGTAGGAAAGTATCTTTATTAGATTTGATTTATGCTATTATATTTCATTAGCAGGGCAACAGGAACCTGATAAAGAACCAGAATCCTCAGTGGATGAGGTAGCAAGACAATTGGAAAGACAAGCATTGGAAGAGAAAGAAAGAGATGATGATGATGAAGGTAAATTATTAATTTGGTATTTTTTTGTTATAAAAGCAAGAAAATACGACTTTCTTTAATCTTTTTCTTAATCCTCACCCAAGGACATGCTTTTATTGATTTGAGAGAGACACACAGAGAAAGAAACATTAAAGTGATGTAAAAGTGAAACATTGATTGGTTGCTTCCCACATGTCCACAATCAGGGATTGATCTAACTTCCAACCTGTGCCCTGGCTGGGAATGGAATCTGCCACTTTTCGGTGTATGAGACTATGCTCTAACCAATAGAGCCACACAGGCCAGGCCATTTTTTTTTTTTAAACTATCTACTTATTTGTCCATATAATCTATTACTTTCTGACATTTCTTAATTGACAGTATAATAAAACCTCAATGTCACAGATAAAAACGAAAAGGAATTTATTAGCAACTCTAAAAAGTTGGATATGTTGAATGACTGCTCAAACAACACAGTTGTCAACTTTTTAAAATGTACTTGGACCCTAGCTGAATTGGCTCAGTGGATAGAGCCTCAGCCTAAGGACTAAAAGGTCCTGGGTTCGAATCCCGCCAAGGGCACATGCTCAGGTTGTGGGCTGGATCCCTAGTAGGGGGCATAAGGGAGGCAGCCAATTAATGAATCTCTTTTCTTCTGAAATCAATAAAAATAAAAAATATATATTTTGAAATGTATTTGGTAAAAGGCCAAGTAGTGGGTGTGTATTAATATAAAATTGAAGAGTTGTTTATTTAACTTTTATTTAACTAATATTTATTGAACAACTAATATCTACTATCCAACCCTGTTTTCCTGAAAATAAGACAGTGTCTTATATTAATTTTTGCTCCCAAAGATGCGCTAGGTCTTATTTTCAGGGGATTTCTTATTTTTCCATGAAGAAGAATACGGTACACATTTATTGTTAAATGAAAATAAAGGAAATTTATTACCTGTATACGGTACAGTAGTACGGTAGTTGTCCACACAAACCAGACAAACTGTGAATCCTACAGTATCAAGAATTTATTCATTTATTCAGTGACAATCATGTCATCATCTTCTGGAACATCATCATAACAATCCAATTCCTGAATTTCCTGGTGAATTTCTTGTGACTCCATTTCTTTCAGAATTAGTGGACCAAATCTCATGTTTAGCCTAGGGGGGGGCCTTATTTTTGAGGGATGCCTTATATTTCACTCAGAAGGAAACCTGTAAGTAGGTCTTATTTTCGGAGGATGTCTTATTTTCGGAGGAAACACGGTAGGATACTTTCACATGCATTCTTATTTTGCCCTTGCAAAGAAAGTAATTGCTCTTCTCAAGAAATGATAGTTATATGATTTTCCCAATGTGATACAGCTATCCTGTTTCCCCGAAAATAAGACAGTGTCTTATATTAATTTTTTCTCCCAAAGTTGTGCTAGGTCATATTTTCAGGGGATGTCTTATCTTTCCATGCGCTAGGTCTTATTTTCAGAGGATGTCTTATTTTCGGGGAAACACGGTAGTATGTGTAGAATAGAACCAGAATTTGAAACCTAGCACTTGATTCTAAGTCTATTCCTTTTACTCTCTGTACCAAAGCTACTTTTTTTTAATTATCAAAGGAGAATATTGGAGTGCTTCTATCCCTGATCCTAGTTCCTTGTGGTATTTTAGTTTTGTTAGATTTGTGTAAACATGGCAAGTGTTAGAATTATAGGAATTGATGCTATCAGTAAGACAATGGAGGGAGTCATTAATTAAGAGAACTATTATATAGCATCTTTTTGCAAAGGGGGGAGATAGGGCTTTCCCATTCTCAGTTATTTACTGGTTTGACCTGCTCTACTTCAAGCACTGCCAGCTTGAGCCTTTGCTTTTCAGTCCTTAACAACAAATACCTGCTATATTTGGGCACATGTGTCAAACACAAGGCCCGCGGGCCAAATCCGTCCCACCAGGCCTTGCAATGTGGCCCGCACCGCACTGTCATCACTGCACTCCACTGCGTTTCCATCACAATGACAGTTTATGACTGTTCAGTAAACCATTCGGCCCGCGATTTAGGCTGGATTTTAGATTTTGGCCCCTTCTCTGATTGAGTTCGACACCCCTATATTAGGGTAATGTAGAGCAGTTGTTTTTTCCTCTAGAAAGGTATGTTCTGCCTTCAAAAGGCTTACAGTTAAAATTTGGTTTAAAAAGCACCAACATTACAGGGAATAGTTGTTTTTTCAACTTCTTTAAGCAAATCTCTTGTACATTTTACCTTTGGTTATGCTTGAGATTATGAATATATTTTTGAGCTCTTAAAAAAGGGTTTTATAAATTCAAAGTAATACAATAAGTTATTATAGACCTATGTGTAGAATATCACAATACTGCTCTTGAGTGTGCCTTGTTCCATTGCACCTCTACAAAGCTGTGTGACTTGAAATTGAAAGGGAACTCTTTGCTTGTCAGATTGGAAATCTTCAATGTATTAAAGATTTTAGTTTTCTCCAATTTTATCTAATTGTTTTTCTAATTCATTTCAATAATTAGGATCAACCAGTAGTACTAATCTGGTGTCAGGAGTCTTTGAGGGGATGGAAAGCTAGTATTTCAGAATCTTTGTTTTAAGGAAAGTTGATGGTGTGGTGGAGAGAAAACTTAGAGGTGAAAAAAAGCTACAGTAAAATTTATTGGTATTGGAGATGGAATTGGCTGAATGCTGAAAAAGTCTCGTTGAAAGGAAAT